TAAGGAAGTTAACTCGACCTGCCGTTTGTGCCATTTGACCTCCCGCGTCATGCATATGTAGAGTAGCTCAGGTCAAGCTGAACAAGCCGTAATACTCAAATCCCTGACCCTGAAAAACTGTCCATGACGAACTCTAAAGAGCCAATGTTCCCGACTCAAACAGACGAAAACAACCAAAAATATAATAATGAACGTAATAAATTGATCAATGGCTAATTGACTGGTGTGTATGTTCATTGAAAGTGGAAAATACTGAAGAGTAAAAAATAGAAATTATCAGAAGACACATTGTCACTGTGCAAAGTGTGATAAAGTAAAGTCTTTCAGTTATGCTTTGTTGACAGTTGAACTGCACTTCGTACCCACATGATCATACAAAGACATGACTGCACATCACCGTATGACACATTTAATTTGTCACACAGTGACTTTATGGCACTCTATTTTAACAAGGTATTATCTTTTAAAGATTATAACTTTTCGACTGCTCGAGTTTCATCTCGTTAGAGCAATTTAGATCACTTCACATTCTGCTACAACTTTATAGTGACTTTTATATCCATATTTGGTCATTCCCTAGGCTGTGTCTACCACGATGACATCAATTAACCCAAGGCAATGTTATTGTTTCTTTGTCTGCCCATTGTTGTTTCTCAGTCTACCATGCCGACTGTCTATCTACCTACCTACCTTCCTACCTACCTATCTGTGAGTGAATGTGAGTGTGAGTGAGTGAGTGAGTGTGTGTGTGTGTGTGCTGCACCTGTATGGCCGTGAGTAGGCTACCCCTGTTTGCTGGACTTGTCCCATCATCATAGTAAAGTTGTAATCACTAGCTCGACTTATATCTTTACAATTTAGAGATGATAGTAAACAAAACAAAACTACATCAGTCCAAGAAATATGTTTATTTTCCAGAACTACAACTTGTGAACGAACATTTTATACTTTTTCAACACTCGGTGAACAGTATTAAACTTGTAGCACTACTTTGAAGTAGGGTACCCGTAAATACCCACGTAATTTACGTTCATGGGTAACAAGAAGTATCAACATAAACCAATAGAAAATGAACTCTTTTGTTCTTGTTTTGATTCAAAAATCGAATAAGGAAATAATTTATTCATATGAAAAACCAAAAGAATGTGTACTCAGTAATGCGTATTTCACACTGTTGAGGCCACATGATACCTATTCAGAATCCAGAAATGACGGAACCACACATACCACATTTACATTACATATTAGATTTAAACCAGAAACTTCAAAACAAAACGTTCCCTTTTACGAAAACGCCACGGAATCACACAAAATGGGAATGACGTTGTTTTGGCTTTTGGCTGTTAAACATCTTTACCATCTTACATTTCCACAGCGTGACGTGTATATTACAGACTTACCCAAACATTATCCTCTTTAATCAACCTTATGTTGCAACAACATAAATCATTGATCATGTTTGTCTAACATTCTCTCTCTTGAGTTAGATTAATTGATGATGAAATTAATATGGATTAAAGGCCGGAGAAATGAAAACTTATAATATGGTCTCCAAACAACCTCAGAGTGTCTCGTAAATTACAGATATATTCTGTCTTCTTTGTATATCTGAGGGAACATGACAATTAAAAGGTAAGATTATTCAACTGTAACAAACAAGAGATGTAACAATTAACAGAACATGAAACTGGAACCTCTAACAGTAACATCTGTGAACAATAAAGATCCGTAACGTAAGTTACTCATTTGCGCGTTGTGTGCACTGGGTGGAGAGCATCAGCATCATTTGGGCACAACTTGAACATTCTGCGGCTTTTGCCTGTTGGAGCTGGATCTTCCTCCAGTATATAGAGAATGCTGGTTCGATCCACCCATATTTCATCAGCACTTGTTGCCTTTGATGTTTGCTCCATGAAGTTGATGTGCACTTCATTGTCCTCGCCATCAATGTCAAGCACTTTGCCGATGTAAGGTTTTCCTTAATACAGAGCACACACAAAGGCATCAACGTTGATGGTTGTACTAAGAGAGGGTACTTCTGTATCAACAATGACATCTTCGTTCTCAGTGGTAGTAGTTTCAGGAATAGGATGTGGATCAGATTCCTGGTCTTCATGATGTGTGCTCTCCTGCTGCTTCTTACCAACCTTGTTGATGTTTTGAATATTCCATGCACACACTGGACTGATTTTGAATCCTCCCATGTCGAAGCACTCTGAACACGTGCATGTCATCTCCCGTGACATCAACTGACCTTCAGGCACACCAGTGACACTTGAGATGGAATGGATTTTCATAGTTCCTTTTACAGGGTTGACAAGTTTCTGTCGTGCTTGAATTTCAACAGCTGCTTGATCAAACTCATCCTTCTCAATATAGAAGTAGGAGATCTGGCCTGGTGTAGAACTTGCCCATCGGTAGAATTCAAATGCACTTTGAATGTTATACTTTTGTGTTTTAACAGCAGTGTCCGCCATTCGTTTCGCTGCACCACCAATGCCATCACAGGCACCCTTGCCGTGGCCACTCTCAAAATATTGCCACGACCCTCTACATCCAAATAGACTCTGGTGACGGGCAATGATGTCAAACGCACTCCTGTTTCGGTATTGAGACGTAGGCGAATCAGTCCAGTAATGGATATGCTCAACATCAGGGCAAAAGGTCTTCACGTCTGTAATGATCCTTTTCATAATAGCAAACACCATTGGGAAATTGTGATGGAGCACGGCAAAGACATACACTGTACTTCTGTGCTGGAGTTCTTGGGAAGTTTCACGATCAGGGGTGCCGTACTGGACGTACTGGATACGCCGTTCTCATCACAATTTCCAGCCACCATGCTATCAGACCCTCCAGAATGCGGCTGATTGTCTTCGTCCATTCTAGCAAGAATTGCCTTCACTTTGTTTCTATATTTCTGTACATTTCTTTTGTTTCTTTCTCTTCGTTTTGTTTTTTCTGTTCTTGTCAGTGAACTAGTCGGAACAAAATATTTCTTGACGCGTTTTGTTTCTTTTGTTTTCCACTCATCTCCCAGCTCTGCCTTTTTTTCTCTCCCTGTAGTCTCTTTGCCGCTTTGCCTGTGTTTTGGCTATACTAACTGCAATAAAACACGTTAAAACCGTAAATGTGTGTTTCTAATATAGTCTATTGAAGAAAGAGGCAGTTAAGAAAGCTAAGTATGCAGTTGTGTTGATAGTACAAAGGATGTTGTAATTTATGTTGTAATTTACGTTGTAACTTACGTTCTTGTTAAATCCAAAGACTGAATTATGATTAAGCGACAAAGATTACAAAACAGTAAAATCTTTGCATCAGATATGTAATCAATAGAGAAATGAACATTTTTTCTGTAAACATGGCCGAGACACAGTCGTGTCACATTGAGATATCTACAAGCAACAATCACACAATGAGACATTGGGATAAAACATTTGTTTACTTTTGATTCATACTGATTTAGTGTGAGTTAAAATGCAATCTGTAAAGTTGACAAAGCGTACACTTCAATTTCATCAACATGTTAAATTGTTTTATCACCTTAAGTAACGATTCCGTAAGAAATATTCCTGTGAAATTTACGTAACAGTTTTAGTAATTTACGTTATGGTGAAAAAGTTGCATGGACGACAATGGAAACCATAGAATCAGTACTGTTTCATATTAGTACGTCTGCTGAATTCGTGAAGTGTCAGAAAATATCAAAAACACATATAGGTACAAATAAGAAGTGGTAAAATGCGAGGACTCATTCATACATACCGTCCACCAATGATGTTTGCCAAGAAAAACTTGATTCTTCATTGAACAACGCTCCCTGCTCGCATGCAGTAATTCAACGGGTGCTAACACGTGACTTTAGGTGCCTTTGGGGTGTTCCCATTTAATGTCATGGACAAATATAACTGTCAATTAAACGTAAATTACAAAACGTAAATTACATTCGGTTTATCTTAAGTGATCATCCGGGTTCTGCGGTTCTGTTTCTGCTGTAATGTTGTATTAAACTGTAGAGGGTAATGTCGTTTCAAAGTAACCAATGGTCCCATAATGCTATGCAGCAACTCTACAATATAATCACCGTGACGTATGATTACGTTCTTAAAAAATCGGTCATAAAATCGAACATTACTGGTCTGTATTCAACTAACATGTATCTTTCGTTGACAATAAATGCTTGTTATCTATACTAGAACATTTCAGGTCCTAAATAACACATATTTTGGTATTGTATCAGTTTCGAGCTATTAGCTACCGGTAATACAATCTGACATAACGTAAATTACACGGGTGGTGTAGACAATTGTTAATTGGTTATATTGAAATTGTGTATGTTTGATAATGCGTGTTTAATGTTTCATCTCATAAACAGTACCTGACTGCTGTCAAAACAAACCTACATTCGAGTCGTGGTAGCGGTTGTCCTCTTAGTAGGCAGCTTTTATTGACGAATACGTCACTTACCGACACCAGAAAAACGTACCCCTACCTATGTATGTCAATCCATACTAAACATTGTTTAAATTACTGGTTAACTTTCTTGATACTTATGTGTCCCATACTTTACTTGTTATTATTAATGTATTTTAAGATACGACGAAAGTGCTTTTGTTTTAATGAATCGCATCTTGCAAACTCGTCGACGGCAAATGTGCACTTTAATTGAGAATTATATCTTTATGTAATCAGTTCATTGTATAACCGAGTAAATGAGTTTTGACTCAACATATTTGTTCCTCTTAATCAACTTATAGTTCTCAGATAGTTCCCCTTGTCATGCTCACAAGACTGCTTTAAATTAATATATGATATGCAAAAGTATGATTTCTCCAGGGCAAAAGTACCAACAGGCAGAATCGTTTTGCTTGGTTACAGCAATAAGTGCATCGATTCAGTTTCCAAGTCTTACCGGTATCGTCTGGCGAGGGTGTGAAAGGTGCGTAATGGCGATTCTTCTTCTTGTGTCCCCCCATCGTATCACCTCGTCTTCAGCGTACTCACTCAAAGTTATAAAGCTTGCAACTGACGGCTCTGAATTTGCTGTATATCGACCGTTGTTTTATTGTGATTTGTTCGATACTGTCACTTTCGCTTCTGGGAAAACAACCGTCCTAGTTTCGGTTTCCATATAAGGTATTTACATTCAACATGGGGGATGGCCTAAAAAGGCGGGCCAAATCTATTATTGGCTAATAAACCCATTAACGAAAACCATGCCTACAATTTATCAATGCAGCATACACTCATGATAATAATGATCAATCGGAAGCCACAAACGCGTACCATAATAACTTTATTACGAGTAAATCGGCTAAAACCCAGGAAGACGAAGCCTGTGAACTGGCTGACCGAGGTTATGTCTAAAAGTGGAATCGTTAAAAGAAACGGGATTTAAAACGTATAAATACTTCAGTCAATTCCGATACACATTTCCGTTGGCCCGAAAATGTGATTACATCTATATTCAATCACATACCACCCCATAAATTCACTATTCATCGTATTTAAAGCATGCCCACCTTTAAATGCTACGATCTCTTCACCACACTCTCAACATTATCACGGCCACAATTGTTCGGTCCGGCTTGGCTCAAGCCGTCAAAAGCAACTTAAACGTAACACACGTATCTTGAAATGTGTTTAAATCAATAGATTGGTATTATATCTACCTAAACATCGCTTTGTAATGTTATAAAATGCAACATGTAAAGAAAACTGCTCCGTTAAAGTGAAGCCCTTGTCTCTCATTTTTAGCCTCAATCAAAAGTGTTTAGTCCCTGTTCAGCCCGACTTGGCCCGTGCTGTCAAAAACACCTTAAACCTCAAACATATATCTTGAAATGTGTTTATATCAATAGATTAGTATTATATCTACCTAAATATCACTTCACAGAGTCTCAAAGCGTAGTATTTGAAGCAAAACCTTGCTCAAAGTGAAGCTATCTTTTCTACATATTCTCAACAAACAGTATCACAAGCGTTCGGTACGCCTTGGCCCGGGCTCTCAAAAGCAACTTAAACCCACTTACATGTATTCTGATTTGTGTTTTAAATCCATAGATTAGTATTATATCTACCTAAATATCAATGCGTGATGTTACAAAGTGCCACATGTAAAGATAACTGCTCCGTTAAAGTGAAGCCCTGTCTCTCATTTTTTCAACATAGCCTCAATCAAAGTGTTTGGTCTCTGTTCACCCCGACTTGGCCCGTGTTGTCAAAATCAACTTAAACCCTCACACATGTATCTTGAAATGTGTTTAAATCCATAGATTAGTATTATATCTACCTACATATCACTTGGGCGGTGGGGGTAGCCTAATGGTTAAAAGCATTGGCTCGTCACGCCGAAGACCCGGCACAATTTGTGAAGCCCATTTCTGGTGTCCCTCGCCGTTGATGTTGCTGGAATATTGCTAAAAAAGCGGCGTAAAACCAAACTCAGTCAGTCAGACATATCACTTCACAGAGTCTAGAAGCGTAGTATTTGAAGCAGACACCTTGCTCAAAGTGAAGCCATATTTTCTATACATTCTCAACAAAGAATCAGTATCACAAACTTTCGGTCCGGCTTGGCCGGGTGCTCAAACGCACCTTATACCTCACAGATGTATCTTGAAATGTGTTTAAATCCATAGATTGGTATTATATCTACCTAAATATCGCTTTGTAATGTTATAAAATGCAGCATGTAAAGAAAACTGCTCCGTTAAAGTGAAGCCCTTGTGTCTCTCATTTTTTCAACATGTCCTCAATCAAAAGTGTTTAGTCTCTGTTCAGCCCGACTAGGCCCGTGCTGTCAAAAACAACTTAAACCCTCAGACATATATATCTTGAAATGTGTTTATATCCATAGATTAGAATTATATCTACCTACATATCACTTCACAGAGTCTCAAAGGGTAGTATTTGAAGCAAAAACCTTGCTGAAAGTGAAGCTATCTTTTCTACATATTCTCAACAAACAGTATCACAAGCGTTCGGTACGCCTTGGCCCGGGCTCTCAAAAGCAACTTAAACCCCTTACATGTATTCTGATTTGTGTTTAAATCCATAGATTAGTATTATATCTACCTAAATATCAATGCGTGATGTTACAAAGTGCCACATGTAAAGATAACTGCTCCGTTATAGTGAAGCCCTGTCTCTCTTTTTTCAACATAGCCTCAATCAAAAGTGGTTAGTCTCTGTTCAGCCCGACTTGGCCCGTGTTGTCAAAAACAACTTAAACCTCACACATGTATCTTGAAATGTGTTTAAATCCATAGATTAGTATTATATCTACCTACATATCACTGGGGCGGTGGGGTAGCCTAATGGTTAAAGCATTGGCTCGTTACGCCGAAGACCCGGGTTCGAATCCCCACATTGGCACAATGTGTGAAGCCCATTTCTGGTGTCCCCCGCCGTGATGTTGCTGGAATATTGCTCAAAGCGGCGTAAAACCAAACTCAGTCAGTCAGTCAGACATATCACTTCACAGAGTCTAGAAGTGTAGTATTTGAAGCAAACACCTTGCTCAAAGTGAAGCCCTATTTTCTATACATTCTCAACAAAGACACAGTATCACAAACTTTCGGTCCGGCTTGGCCCGGGGCTCAAACGCACCTTATACCTCACAGATGTATCTTGAAATGTGTTTAAATCCATAGATTGGTATTATATCTACCTAAATATCACTTTGTAATGTTATCAAATGCAGCATGTAAAGAAAACTGCTCCGTTAAAGTGAAGCCCTTGTCTCTCATTTTTCAACATGGCCTCAATCAAAAGTGTTTAGTCTCTGTTCAGCCCGACTTGGCCCGTGCTGTCAAAAACAACTTAAACCTCAGACATATATCTTGAAATGTGTTTATATCCATAGATTAGTATTATATCTACCTAAATATCACTTCACAGAGTCTCAAAGCGTAGTATTTGAAGCAAAACCTTGCTCAAAGTGAAGCTATCTTTTCTACATATTCTCAACAAACAGTATCACAAGCGCGTTCGGTACGCCTTGGCCCGGCTTTCAAAAGCTTAGCAACTTAAACCCCACATGTATTCTGATTTGTGTTTAAATCCATAGATTAGTATTATATCTACCTAAATATCAATGTGTGATGTTACAAAGTGCCATGTAAAGATAACTGCTCCGTTAAAGTGAAGCCCTGTCTCTCATTTTTCAACATAGCCTCAATCAAAAGTGTTTGGTCTCTGTTCACCCCGACTTGGCCCGTGTTGTCAAAAACAACTTAAACCTCACACATGTATCTTGAAATGTGTTTAAATCCATAGATTAGTATTATATCTACCTACATATCACTGGGGCGGTGGGGTAGCCTAATGGTTAAAGCATTGGCTCGTCACGCCGAAGACCCACACAATTTGTGAAGCCCATTTCTGGTGTCCCCCGCCGTGATGTTGCTGGAATATTGCTCAAAGCGGCGTAAAACCAAACTCAGTCAGTCAGTCAGACATATCACTTCACAGAGTCTAGAAGTGTAGTATTTGAAGCAAACACCTTGCTCAAAGTGAAGCCCTATTTTCTATACATTCTCAACAAAGACACAGTATCACAAACTTTCGGTCCGAAGCTTGCCCGGTGCTCAAACGCACCTTATACCTCCTACAGATGTATCTTGAAATGTGTTTAAATCCATAGATTTGTATTATATCTACCTAATTATCACTTTGTAATGTTATCAAATGCAACATGTAAAGATAACTGGTTCGTTAAAGTTAGCCCTTTTCTCTCTCCATTCTCAACATAGCCTCAATCAAAAGTGCTTAGTCTCTGTTCAGCCCGACTTGGCCCGTTCTGTCAAAAACACCTTAAACCTCACACATGTATCTTGAAATGTGTTTATATCCATAGAATAGTGTTATATCTACCTACACATCACTTCACAGAGTCTCAAAGCGTAGTATTTGAAGCAAACACCTCGCTCAAAGTGAAGCCCTATTTTCTATACATTCAAAGACACAGTATCACAAGCTTTCGGTCCGGCTTGGCCCGTGCTCTCAAACGCACCTTATCCCTCACATATGTATCTTGAAATTTGTTTATATCCATAGATTAGTGTTATATCTACCTACATGTCACTTCACAGAGTCTCTAAGCGTAGTATTTGAAGGAAAAACGTTGCTGAAAGTGAAGCTCTCTTTTCTACATATTCTCAACAAAGACACAGTATCACAAGCGTTCGGTCCGGTTGGCCCGGACTCTCAAAAGCACCTTCTACCTCACAGATGTATCTTGAAATGTGTTTAAATCCATAGATTGGTATTATATCTACCTAAATGTCACCTTGTAATGTTATCAAATGCAACATGTAAAGATCAGATGATTTGAAAATAGGCTGCTACTGCCCAGCTCGGATCTTAGGCTAGACACTGTGGATTTAATGAAAACATACTTCTCCCACTTCTCTCTCTAATACTTCTATTGTAATACTAATACTGTCTGTATGCGTGTTCAGGGAAAACAGGATAATCAGAAACGCTTGAAGTTTACAACATCCGGAAACAGCATCTCCGAGTAACCTTTGGCAAAGCTCTCAAAAGACATAAAACACTAAACCAGTTTTCGCCGAAATCCTTGGATTTTTTAAACAAATTACACGCATCTGAACAGTACTATGTTTAATTGAGTAGTGTGAAAATTTCCCTATTCTTTCTACGGGTAAAATTAAAATGTGACGAGAAAAAAGCTCAGCTACCTTTTATGGAGAAAACAAATATCCCAATATGACTCATTCCCCAATATCCAGATACCACATATGAATGATCCGCCCCCCGAATTATAATATTGTGTGGTTTAATAATTACTGTTGTTTTGCGTAATATACTTTTTATTGAGAAGAAACATTTGTGGCATGCGACCCCACTGTGACCGTGAATGGGTACTGACGTTCGGCGAAAGCGAAAGAGCGATAACACGATGATACACAATATACTTGTTAAGGAGCTCTGCTCCTTTGCTAAACGGCCACAATCCCGACTGATGATCTCACAACTAAATTGCTTCATCTTTATGTTTGCTTTTAGTAAAGAGATGACCCAGGTGTTTATCAAAGGGTGACATTTTGATATATTTTTTATTTCAAATATTCCCTAAAGAGTCTATTATTTCTGATTAATATAATATATATGTCCATCTGTCAGTCCAAACTTGTAATTGTATGTTTTGTTTACAAACTAATAGTTAGGCCACTTGGACTTCTTTGTTCGTTAGGTAATCTTGCGTCAGTCTGTCAACCCAACTTTTGGGACACCCCTTTTGTGAAATATCTTCTAAATGATACCAACTGACCACATGCCATTAACGTATATCTTAATGATCCCCATTGACGTAATAAAAAAAATAGTTTTAACTTTGTTGGTCACTTGGGGGAAATGTTACTTAAGCAATTATCATTAAAACGTCTGTTTGTTTTGGTGTCAAGCAATATTCCAGTTAGATGGCAGTGGTCTGTAAATAATCGAGTCTGGACCAACCAATCCAGTGATCAACAGCATGAGCAATTGGGATACGATGTCATATGTCACCTAAGTCAGCGAGCCTGACCACCTGATTCCGTTAGTCGCCTTTTACAAACATGGGTTGCTGAAGACCAATTTTAACCACAGGCCCTCGTGTCTTTGCGAAGATTAACATTTAAACAAATATTCTTTTGAGATGACCCCCGACTCGAAATGCTACACAGTACAAAAATATTTCGAGTCGGGGGTCATCTCAAATGTTTCAAATTGTTTTTTTAACATCTTTAATCCTCGCAAGACACGAGGGCCTGTGATTTTAACCCGTACCTTCACGGGTATCAGTGTAAAGGCTTGAATCATATATTCATCAATAGAGTTCTCTTGTTCTCTAAATACATTGTATGACCAGGTATGTGTTAGCTTGCAAGCGGCATGAATCTTAAATCACAGCATATTAACCTTAATGACAACGTTCTGCAGGGGCACAGATAAAACATTTGAATCATTGTCCTAGTAGCTGAAGGGGCCGTTGTCGGCACGGGTACTACAAATATATATCCCAGGTACGTAGTACGATTCTGTATACAATTGTACCATAAACAAAATCAAAATACAGCAACGTACCCGATACCCTTAACGGCGGACGCGTACATATTCCGCAACCTAAAGACGACACCGTATGTCGTTATTGAACTGAACGTATAAATTATGTCTGAACTGATTGCTCGTTACTTAAATAACGCAATCTGACGTATCTAAGCTACAGTTCATGAGTGTTCCCAGTGTCAGACCAGCAAGTGTCCCTGGTGAGAAGCATTTCTAACACTCTTTGGCTGACATTGTGGTGGAACTACCACCCTTGCACCCCACAGGAGGATACCACCATGGACAGAAAGTTCAGACTGCCTGGATTTGTACGACAGTACTAAGGATCTGATACTTGCGACGGACGCATCTCAATACGGTGTCGGTGCCGTACTATCTCACATCTTTGAAGATGGAACCGAGCGTCCTATCGCTTTTGCGTCTCGTACCTTAAATAACGCTGAACGCAACTACTCACAAATAGAGAAGGAAGGACTGTCCGTTATATTTGGAGTCAAAAAATTCCACACTTACCTGTATGGAAGGAAATTCTTCATAAATAATGACCACAAACCCTGGAAACTTTATTCAATGAGAAAAAGGGCATACCAGTCACAGCTTCCGGCAGGATACAGAGGTGGGCCATCACACTTTCTGCATACGACTATACGTTCCAGTATAGACCAGGCAGAAGACTGAGTCATGCGGACGCCATGAGTCGACTTCCATTAGGCACTACACTGAAGTCAGTACCTACGCCACCTGAAGTTGAGAACTCCATAGGCTTCCTAGATTCCACACCAATCACATCTGACAACATTGAAAAAGCAACAACAAAGGACCCCGTCCTTTCGCGAGTGAAGAGATTCATTTTAAACGGGTGGACTGTCACCCCTGATCCATGTCTGCTGCCTTACAAATCCAGGCAGTCTGAACTTTCTGTCCATGGTGGTATCCTCCTGCGGGGTGCAAGGGTGGTAGTTCCACCACAATGTCAGCCAAGAGTGTTAGAAATGCTTCACCAGGGACACTTGGGAATCGTCAGAATGAAGATGTTAGCGAGAAGTTATGTCTGGTGGCCGAAGATGGACTCGGACATAGAAGCTACAGTTCATGAGTGTTCCCAGTGTCAGACCAACGCGAAGTCTACACCATCAGTACAGATGCATCCATGGGAATATCCACAGAAACCTTGGACTCGTGTCCATATTGATTATGCTGGACCATTCGAGAACAAAATGTTCTTAATTGCAGTTGATGCACATTCCAAGTGGATTGACGTTCACGTTACCAACTCTTCCTCATCATTAGTGACAATTGAGAAGCTCGAAAGAACATTTGCGACATGTGGGTTACCTGCAACCATAGTCTCAGACAATGGGACATCCATCGTTCACTAGCCGTGAGTTCCGTTTGTTCTTAAGCAACAATGGGATAGAGCAACTGTTCTCTCCGCCGTACCATCCTTCGTCGAATGGGTTGGCAGAACGTGCAGTTCAGACATTAAAGGACTACTTGAAGAAGACCTCAGGATAATCCCTGCAATCTCGGGTATCCAAATTCTTGTTCCACTATAGATCTACGCCCAACACGACAACAGGCAAATCCCCTGCCGAACTGATGTTCAACCGAAAACTGAGGACTCATCTGGATCTATGTCACCCTGATGAAGTTTTGAAGGTACAGAAGATACAAGCCAGACAAAAAGAGCAGCACGATTCAAACACACGCACTAAGTCGGTAGAAGAAGGTGACACAGTCTACATCACCAACTTCGGAAAAGGTCTTCCATGGATACCTGGGCACCTAGTGAGCAGAAAGCATTCCATGTGCGTCATCAAACTGCTAGATGGACGCATGGTACGCCGACACCTCGACCACGTTAAGGGTAGACAAGCAGAAGCACTGCCACCATCAGCTCTCTGCGACGTCATGCCGCAGGGATTTAGGAACCCTCAGATTGAAAACATTCCAACACTCGCCAGTCCTTATCCAGTGATTCCGTCCACTCCAACATTGTCAACAGGCGTTGGCAACATGACACCAGTACCTGCCACCGGGCCGAAGGTCACTGCGATCCAGCCAGTGAGAAGATCTGGCCGACACACCCGACCTCCTCAGAAACTTGACCTGTGATCAACCTGTGACCTATTCAGAGACTCTAAAGTGTCTTTTCACGTTTAAAGTTCTGTATTACTGTTATATGTTCAGACTGTTGCGCAGTTCTAGAGGTAGCGGCAGGGTTCATCTTACTCTAGTCATTCCTGATCCATTTTTCGGTAAGGTGAACTTTATCATCATTCAGTTTTGATGAAGGACTGTAATTTCACAAGTTCACTTATATTGGCATTAATTGATTTTCAATCTTAAACGGAGAGGAATGTAATATCACGTAGTCCGTATCACTCAGTGTGTACTATTGACAATGACGCCTCCCTTCAATAGCGGAAGTTATGTACCGCTCCCCGCGCTAGGGCATCTGGGATAATAGGGACGACCATCTGGGATTGGCCTGACTATGGCGTCGCCTGTACCGCGCTACGAATAAACATGTGATTCCAATCCCCAGTCCGTTATTCATCCAAGACACAACAAACAACAAGACAACATCCCAGATAGCAATGTCCGTTGGGCCAATGTTGGACCAACATTGGCCATCATTGGGCCTACGTTGGCCAATGTTGGCCCAACGAACATTGCTATCAGGGATACAGTTCCGATCAATATTACTGTGTCTAAATGAAATTGCAGGAAAAGTCATTTTTGAATGAATGAAAAATAGACAGCCATTTCGCTATAGCGATTACCTGATATGGCACAAATTCATCTTCAGTAATTTACGAATTTCTGATTTTCTATCTTTTACAAGGGTATCTCCATGTATCGTCTGCTTCTCAGTAGTCCGGGGAGAGTTACTGCCCTTTCAGTGGTTTTCTTTCAATAAGTGGAAGTTTGTATACTTCCGGTTAATCTTGCACGAGAAGGCGAAGTGTTGCATGTGGTTTTGTTTTTATGTCAATCTTATAATAAGTAACATATGCAGAATGATACATGTACACACTTGATTTAAAACTGGAATGCTTATCAAATCACACACGTTATTTAGTATTCGACAAGTCTTATTGAGGTTTTCTAGCTCAAAACCTTCAGAATTCACCGATGTAAACAAGTGGATATCGAAAGTTGACATAATGCCGAGAATAAAAGTTGAGAGGAAACTCCGCCATGTGAAGTATCGAGAAAGGATGGGTGACAAGCTCAAGGCTCCTTCGTTCGTAGATGTTGTTGTCATTGGGAGTGGAGGGAGAGGAAGCCCACGTTCTGTCATTATTGACACGAGCATATCCAAGTGAGTATTCCTCATGCGATCATATTTATGGTTCGCTAGCAGTCGTACGCATAAGTCATCAGTTTTCAAGGTGTTGTGTCTTGTGATTTCGGTGATTTCGGTATATTTCCAATATTATCCATCAAATAACTACGTGTCATTAAAATTGGCCTGTGATCGGTCCAACTGGCTTAATATAGTCTAGACTAAATATACTCATGAGTGGATCCTTTCAGTGTTTTGCTGTCACAAGTCTCAGTTCAGACACTACAAGTGACTCTTGGTTAAGCTGAAAATTCATGAGGGAAAGAAAATACCCAGCCTGTTGTTTGGGTGCAGGTGTTTCATTTCCCATAGCTTACCAAATATTAACTAGTGAATTTGTTACTATGGTTACAAAGACACAATATCATCAAACTTTGTTCCAACTGAAACTTTCTCTTGATATCAGACCTGGCTCTGTATCATTTTGTATCCTCATAGTCTGCTCTTTTCTCTGCTCAGGGACCCGTGAAGATCTGGGGTAGAATGTATCTTCAGTAACCCATGCTTGTTGTAAGAGGTGACAAACAGGATCGAGTGGTCAGGCTCGCTGACTTTGTTGGCACATGTCATCATATCCCAATTGCATAGATTGTGCTGTTGATCACTTGATTATCTGGTCCAGACTCGATTATTTACAGACCGCCGCCATGTAGTTGAAATATTGCTGAGTGTGGCGTGAAACTAAACTCACTCACTCACTCTCTGCTCAGGACTTCTTACTAAGAATTATGTATATTTTTCATTTGAACCGATTTTGCATGTTGGTTAGCCTGTAGTTTATTTTACAATATTGCCTGAATTTATTACGTGTTAAATTATGTTACTAAAACTACACACTTTATTGTTTTGTTGCATAGGTATGGCAGATACTACTTTTTAATGTACCCGACTCAAATTATGAAAAATAATGCACACCTTGATTCATTTAGTGGAAAATAAGATAAATTTAACAACTTAATTAACTCAAAAGCTATTTTTGGGGCGGTGGGGTAGCCTAGTGGTTAAAGCGTTGGCTCGCCACGCCGAAGACCCGGGTTCGAATCCCCACGTGGGTACAATGTGTGAAGCCCATTTCTGGTGTCCCTCGCCGTGATGTTGCTGGAATATTGCTAAAAGCGGCGTAAAACCAAACTCAGTCAGTCAAAAGCTATTTTTGCACCCAATCAAACTTAATTAGACAGCTAAACACTGGCATGGCCATTTTGAAATTTGAATGCCAGTGAGCATAAGAGGAAAGCTGTTTTGGATGCTAACATAGTTTGTGGGTGAGTTTATGGGACAGGGAAAGATAAATCTGAACTATATCTGAACTATTCTTGCAGTCATGATATTGTTCAGGAAATCCAGTTCCAAGTTATTTTTCCTTGAATTGAACCCTTTCTTATCAAGGGACACTTACATTTTGCATTAGGGCTGTCTAAAATGATCAATAATTGGAAATATTGTCTATAGGAAAAATGATTAATGACTATCTATATGAAAATTTCTTTGTCTTTCAGGTATCTCTTTAATTGTGGAGAAGGAACACAAAGAATTGCAAATGAACACAAGTTAGTATGTCACTTTTACTATGTAATTTCGAATTTCATAGCTGATTTGTAAACTGCGTTTCCATTCTGATATGATCTAATTAAGATTTGATAAGACATTGTGAAAGATTGGACTACAATTCCATGCAAATTTGTGTTAGGTGAATTTTGAGCCTCAAATTAAGGATGCATGGCTTACTGAGTTAAATAGATGTTAATATAGATGTTTGTGTCTTGAAGCAGTGAAACAATACTGTATGTCTTCACAACCTCGATTCAGAAATTTTTACCCTCTCATTCACAGATTTTCTATTGATGGTTCATTCCTCTGACTGTAAATGTCTTTGCATGCGAAAACAACTGGTTGTGTGAAGAATTCACAGTGGTTTAGAATATAATGGAATGGCCTTATTCATGTACATTTGGAACCTGTAATTAGTTCAGATTGTTTTAAAGACACAGAGATATGATGTGCAGGTTTGACTGTTTTTACATTCATTTAAATTTTTTAGAAGCCTCACTGCTGATTGGCTGATTAAAAAATATCACCCGATTTGATCTCTAGTGAAGCAGATCTCAGATCGTCATGTGGATAGACATCCTGCCAGTTTAAAACATAAAAGTTTTAGTTTAACATTCATATCAACAAGATGGAAACACTCTTTTGAAGATAATTACCTCGTTTTTGCAATGCACTGATGCTTGATAATAATAATAATAATAATAATAATTATAATGTGGGTATTTATATAGCGCTACATCCAGGTACTAATACACGCTCATGACGCTACAATACTATAGGAGAAAATAAAATAATAATATTCAATTTAAATTTTATCAAATCAGAAATGCTACATTGTAAATTGCAATCTTGTACTAGCAATGACATCCTGTTCGTTGTCACCAGGGTAAAACTTGCTAAACTGGAAAACATTTTCATCACATACAAGAGTTGGGACAACATTGGAGGATTACTAGGTGAGTTCAGATGTAACTTGATATGCTGAGCAGAAAAAAGTGAACATGACTATATGTTGGGATTTTTTGCGCAAAAATGAATTTTCATTCTGCAATACAAAAAGAAAATGTCTCCATGTTATTCATAGTCCAATCAGTCCAGTTTCTGATCAGTATTTGTACTTCCAACTCATGACCTGTCAAGGTCTCAGTTAAAATTGGTCTTCAGGAACCCATGATTATTGTAAAAGACAACTAATTGGGTTAGGCATCCAATAGATCATTGCTTATAATGTCAATCAGTGGATTATTTGGTCCAGATTTGATTATTCACTGACTGCCATCATACAGCTTGACCATTGCTGAGTGTGGCACAAACAAACACACAAACAGTGGTCACTGTAGCACAGATCAAGGCATTGTACATGTGTCCATTGTTTATTACCAACATCAAGTACCATTATATTTATTGTTATTTCCATTTGGTGATTAAGAATATTTCCTGGTACATTTGTAGGCATGTCCTTGACCCTGGATGGCATCAATGTACCAAAGATCAACATACATGGATCACCTGGAGTGGTTAGTGTAGCAGTGTCTTTTACAGAAATGAAGAAATCCATTTTTTCCAGAAATGAAGAAATCAAGTATTTTTTTAAAAATGTAGAATTTTTAATTGTAACCTGGCATGCAAAAACATATTTAAGTGTTATGCATTAGTAAATCTACTTAGTTTAAGTGTTGTAACAAGAAGAATACTTCCTTGTATTTATAGAAATACGTTATTTGTAATATTTTGCCCTAAAAGCTTTATTCATGCTAATAGGTCATTGCTCTTGTGAACAGCAAGAGTTTACTTTAATACAGATAAATTATGAATTCAAGAAACACCTACTGTTTCCTTCTGTTTGCCTGACAGGACCCTCTGTGGCGTTCAATGCTAGTTTCCACAAACTATGACAACAGAATTTGTTGAAGAGGTTTCAGTCTGAGTTTATGTAAAAAAAACCTTTGAATTTGAAAAAAAAAACTTTCTTAAAATAATGCTTTTTGCTATTTCTATAGTAAACTGTAACAACATGACATCTGTCTCTTATAAATATCCCTTTTTATGCCATGACCTTTTTGCACTACAGGAGAATATCACCAAGTCCTACAAAAACTTTACAGCTGCTTACACTACCATTGCTCAACTAGGTGAGTAAGTTGCTGTTTTCACTGCTACTGGTATTAAACTCATTTTAGACCATATTGTTCTGAAAAGTCTATAATCCAAAATGCAAAAAAGAAATCTTTACAAATTGCAACATGATTAGTGAAATAGTTCTGTATGCTATGTGTAGCTACAGTAAAATAGTGCTGTATTACTATGTACCATGTGTAGCTACAGTAAAATAGTTCTGTGTATACTGTGTAGCTAGCTACAGTAAAATAGTTCTGTATACTATGTGTAGCTACAGTGAAATAGTTCTGTATACTATGTGTAGCTACAGTGAAATAGTTCTGTATACTATGTGTAGCTACAGTAAAATAGTTCTGTATACTATGTGTAGTACACAGTGAAATAGTTCTGTATACTATGTGTAGTAAAAATAGTTCTGTATACTATGTGTAGCTACAGTAAAATAGTTCTGTATACTATGTGTAGCTACAGTAAAATAGTTCTGTATACTATGTGTAGCTACAGTAAAATAGTTCTGTATACTATGTGTAGCTACAGTAAAATAGTTCTGTATACTATGTGTAGCTACAGTAAAAATAGTTCTGTATACTATGTGTAGCTACAGTAAAAATAGTTCTGTATACTGTAGCTACAGTGTAGCTTGCATACAGTCAGTAAAATAGTTCTGTATACTATGTGTAGCTACAGTAAAATAGTTCTGTATACTACGTGTGTAGTCAGTAAAATAGCTGTATACTCAGTAGCTACAGTAAAATAGTTCTGTATACTATGTGTGTAGCTACAGTGAAATAGTTCTGTATGCTACAGTAAAAAATACCTTTATAACGAACTCCAAGGGACCACTGAAATTAGTTCGTTATATCTGTAGTTCGCTATTCATGAAATTCCACTGAAAGAACAATAAGGACATACTGTACAGTACGATACATTCCTACTCAGTTTATTCGTTCATTCATACGACAGTTACGTTCGTTTCACTACAAAGTCTGTGATCTTACTTTGTCCATGCTTGGCCGACTGCATACGTGCTACAGCCTCATTCAAATCGGCAAGTGAATCAAATGAAGACATATCAGTTGTCTTCTGCAAAACTAGAAAGTTCTTCAGTGTTTGAAGCACCATGTTGGCATCAGCAAACGAAGGAGGTTCCTGGTCTGTTTCATCACTGTTCATGTCATCAGCATCACATTCGGAATCAGCTCGGGACATTCCGTCGAGCTGATCGAAACGGGACTTTTAAAACAGTTCGCTATAGCCGTCAGTTTGTTATATCCGTGTTCGTTATAAAAGTATTCTACATTCTACTGTATTTTACAATTTTTCAATTTTCTTCAGAGAAAAGAGAACTGAGCGAGGGCGATTTTACAGACTCTGCAATGAAGGTAGAGTATATACCTCTCTATAACAATGAGAGAGCAGGAGAGGACACAAGTCGGGACCACACCCAGGATGGAGGGGGAGCTGCTGCTGATGAACCAGGTGATCTCGATAACCCTGACTTTATGTACTGATGAAAGCAGCTTTTTTCAAATAGTTTTTGATGATTCATTTGTCAGGATCAGTTTTTCTTATTTTCTAAAATATTCTTTTGCATCTTTTTGTGGTGATGATAAAGTTTCTAAAGAAAGGAGATGGCCCAGTATTTCATGCTGGGTACATGGTAGGCATGAGAGCTTACTGCACAGGAATCCCAAGACAGAGGGGGGTCTGGGCGTGGTGGGTCATAAAATGACTAAAGACCGAAAGACCCCATTGAAGTTAAAGTTTGTGTGTAATGTGTGTATGTGTGTTCAGTGTTCGAAACCCGTGAACCCCCTCCCCCCCTTTTGAAAATTCCTGGATCCACCCATGGATAAACCTACCGTGTTTGAAAACTCGATGGAAGTCCCACTATAAAGTAGATATCATTTGTTTTCATTTGGAGCCAAGTGCTTTAAACCATAGGTTTATCTCCTAATTATATCACACTGCTGTATTGTTTAAAAAAAGTACTTTGATGTCATCCAAAGCTTTACTGTATCAAACCAGAATTTCTCATCACTAAAATTTCCGAAATGTCAGATGTTCCATGTTCAATGTTTTCCTTGTTTTGTTTTTTAACTTAAAGTGACAAAGCTCTGAGTTAAGGGCGCATCAATTTCTTGGACATTTATATTGCCAATGGATTTGTCAATTAGCTACCAATAAACCTCACTTTTGTCTGCCTGAAGACAGAAAGGTGCCTATAAGATTATTATTGTTTATACACTCAACATTTATCCACTGTGCATCCAAACTGTTTATACTCAATGTATCTCACATGGAGATTGTTCTTAACGTATATTACAACTCCACTTCCTCGACCTGGCTGGTCTTTCCTTAAAGGCAAATAAAAACCAGGTATTAAAATATTATCATCCACTGGTATCATATCTTACCAGGAATACCCATTGATATTATCATTGGGACTTGATGATCTGTTTGTCATGTCTCTATTTCGTCTTCCTTCAGAAACCAAGAGGCCGAGGTTATTAAAGGATGTGGATGACATAGCAGTAGCCTATTTGTGTCAGGTAAGTCCATTAACACTAACCAGAAGTGTGAACAGTCCATTAGAGTATCCAAGTCATGTCTGTCTATTGTCCAAAATCTTTATATTAGTGAGAAGAATCCCCACATATCAGTACAAAACATTAATGCTAGTCAATACACATTATCATTTTACATAATCAGGATACAAAGGAATATACCTGCCCTTTGCTTTTATGTTCATTTACTTTTCCAGCTTCATCCTCGAAAAGGAAGATTAACTTGGAAAAATGTGTTGATCTTGGAATAAAGACGTGAGTTATCTCCAATGAACATTTAGAAAATTATGATTTGTTATTGTTGATCAAGTATTATTTTGAGTTTCTATTGATCTATGATCTTTGAGTAATGTTCATTGGGGCTCATGACTATCATACGTTTTGCCTTAAGCAGGCACCTAGATACGTGGGTTGATCAAAAAGTATGTAGACTGTATTCTCGATGTCCAATGTTTGAAAAGGTTCCATTTTATTTTTAAGGTATCTTTATCAAAGTCATATCCAAAATTTCACATATGTGGGTAATGTGGTTAATGAGATATTAGCCATCACAACACATTGTGGTATAATATTTCTAACATAACTGCAGAAAATGAAAAACGATCTGTCATTTGGTACCTCTTGGATAATGGTATGCCCTCAGAATATATCATATATAATATGTTCAGTATAGTATTGGATAACTTCCCGTCATAATCCACAGTCCAAGATTTTGATTGCTTAATTTATATTTAGTGGAGGGCTGTTTTTTTAAGGACACCCCCATTTCAATCTTCCTAAAACATTGTGTTCAGATATTCAAGCTGGTACTGTTTACAATATGTTGTGATCTGACACTTGTGTGACCATTCAGTGTTTAGCTTGAACCCTTGGCATCATGTATGAATAAGTGAAAACATTAGAATAAGTTGTGTCCTTATGATTACGTCATCTGAAAGGGGATGGGTAGTGTCTCCAAAACAAGCTCTTTCAGTCAACATGAAGGGGGGAGTCACTTTAACAAGCGATTGTAATTGCTAATTGCTTTTTTATGAACTTTAAAATCCAAGTGTGATTCTAGGGGACTTCTATTAATCTCAAACACACAAAATATTTCTTGCATATTTAATTTCCTGAAGTTTTTGATGCATTTATTGTAGATTTTGCGTTTTTTGAGTTTACCAAGATAAAAGGTCAAACACAATGAGGATCGTGAGACTGGAACATAGCAAAACCAAATTGCTTGAGCTTGACAGATAATATGTAGAAAAATAAAACATAAAAATAACTGCATTTGTATCGTTTTCTTGGTGACTCTACATACATTTTGATCGCCCCTCGTATGTTGTTTGTATGTCAGCTGTTTTGGTTTAAGTGCTAAGGTCTAGAGAATGGACATATTTTAACAACAGGCAATATCAATTTCAAAATAGAGTGATGATTGCTGATTCAGGTTCTCGTCTTTTGTTGATATATCTAATATTCTCGATCTTAATGTTGATCAAAGTAACGTTCACAAGACATATATGAAATATGCAAGGAATGGCTTGTGTTTCAGGGGACCATGTTTGGGACAGTTGGTGGAAGGCCATTCAGTGACATTAGAAGATGGCAGAGTGGTAAGTGAGAGTTGGTGGAAGGCCACATGAGACATTCCCCATCTCTTCTCAGACATAACGTCCCATTCCCATTATCTTCTCAGCTCTTAAGCATCCTGTTTTAACCCTCTTCTCAGCTCTGGTATCCTGTTCTTATCCTCTTCTCGGCTCTGGTATCCTGTTCTTATCCTCTTCTCGGCTCTGGTATCCTGTTCTTATCCTCTTCTCGACTCTGGCATCCCATTCTTATCCTCTTCTCGACTCTGGCATCCCGTTCTTATCCTCTTCTCGACTCTGGTATCCTGTTCTTATCCTCTTCTCGACTCTGGCATCCCATTCTTATCCTTTTCTCGACTCTGGCATCCCGTTCTTATCCTCTTATCGACTCTGGCATCCCATTCGTATCCTCTTCGCGGCTTTGGCATCCCGTTCTTATCCTCTTCTCGACTCTGGCATCCCATTCTTATCCTCTTCTCGACTCTGGCATCCCATTCTTATCCTCTTCTCGGCTCTGGCATCCCGTTCTTATCCTCTTCTCGACTCTGGCATCCCATTCTTATCCTCTTCTCGACTCTGGCATCCCATTCTTATCCCCTTCTCGTCTCTGGCATCCCGTTCTTGTCTTCGTCTCGACTCTGACATCCCATTCTTATCCTCTTCTCGACTCTGGTAGCCCATTCTTATCCTCTTCTCGGCTCTGGCATCCCGTTCTTATCCTCTGTTCGACTCTGGCATCCCGTTCTTATCCTCTTCTCGACTCTGGTATCCTGTTCTTATCCTCTTCTCGACTCTGGCATCCCATTCTTATCCTCTTCTCGACTCTGGTAGCCCACTCTTATCCTCTTCTCGGCTCTGGCATCCCGTTCTTATCCTCTTCTCGACTCTGGCATCCCGTTCTTATCCTCTTCTCGACTCTGGTATCCTGTTCTTATCCTCTCTCGACTCTGGCATCCCATTCTTATCCTTTTCTCGACTCTGGCATCCCGTTCTTATCCTCTTATCGACTCTGGCATCCCATTCGTATCCTCTTCGCGGCTTTGGCATCCCGTTCTTATCCTCTTCTCGACTCTGGCATCCCATTCTTATCCTCTTCTCAGCTCTGGCATCCCGTTCTTATCCTCTTCTCGACTCTGGCATCCCATTCTTATCCTCTTCTCGACTCTGGCATCCCATTCTTATCCCCTTCTCGTCTCTGGCATCCCGTTCTTGTCTTCGTCTCGACTCTGGCATCCCATTCTTATCCTCTTCTCGACTCTGGCATCCCATTCTTATCCTCTTCTCGACTATGGCATCCCGTCCTATCCTCTTCTCGACTCTGGCATCCCATTCCTATCCTCTTCTCAGCTCTGGCATCCTGTTCTTATCCTACTTTTACTTCTATCCCATGTCAGACCTAAAAAGGGGTCATCTCTGTATGTTTTGGCCTAGCTACCATCTTTGACCAGCTTTTCTCATGTATGCCAGAACCTTTGTATATTGAAGAGCGTTCAGGTGAACAATAAAATCTTATGGCTGTATCCTTTTTGATCAAACCTTGTGTTTGATTGTCAAGTCCGAATGAGGGGGATGTTCCCATTTCGCCTACATCCCATTTTGCCTACAGTAATTGAGGATGGCAACTCATCCACCCCTCATTCAGTGAATGGGATGGCCCACATTTCCTGCTCAGTGTCGTCAAAAGAATATGTTCACTGTTTTGTTTTGTTATTTTATTAGTTAAAGTGGTTTGTTGCTTAATAATGCAAATTACTGTAATAGGTTTGTGATCAAAGTCACTTTATATCTATGTTGATAAGATTTGTTGTTTTAATAAAGCCTTAATAAAGTGGCTACTCTCAGGCTTCCTGCTCAATGTGCAATTTTGTTATGTTCCCTTCTCCATGTACTGTTGTTTTAATGTACAGTATATAAGGGATGTTGTTTGTGATGTCAAAATGGCAAACACATTTCTTCATAGAGTAGAATTTATTACGACACAGAGAGGCGGGCAGCAAGTTCTATATGATGGATATCGCTATCGACTGAATGTGAAACATCAGGTGGAAACACACTGGAAGTGTGTTCAGACAGGATGCAAGGCACGTTGCAGTACCATAGGGGACTACATGACCATTGCATCTGACCACTGCCATCCCAGAGAGAATGAAGATCATACGCGTCTTCTAAGCTGACTCCGTGAACGTGTGCAGACCGACATCACTCCAGTTCAGCAATTCTATGAGACAACAAGCGGCAACAAGTACATCGTTGCGGTAACCAACCATTTTTCCAAGTGGTCGGAGGCAGCTGCTATCCTGGATAAAAATGCAAAGTCGGTTGCTCTGTTTCTTTTCCATGTCATCTGTCGACTGGGCTGCATGGACACATTGATCAGTGATCAAGGACGTGAATTCGTTAACATAGTGATTGACTCACTCATGGACCATTTCCAGACGGAACATCGCATAACCTTGGCGTACTATCCTCAGTCAAACGGCCAGCGGGAACGGGACAACAGGACTTTACAGGCGGCTCTGAGTAAACTCGTCAATGACCAAGTTGATTATTGGGACCAATACATTTCTGGCGTCTTGTTCGCATACCACACATCAGTCCATGCTTCGACGAAATGCACACTATTTGAGGTGATGTACGGCCGCCCAGCCAAGCTACCGATAGACCTGAAACTGACCGAGGGGAATGACGGCACAGCTACAGCATCTTCACCTAACACGGCATGCCCAGAAGTGCTGGAAACCATCATCGATCTACACAAAGGCATCTGTTCCACTGTTTCCAACAAATGCACAGGATCGCCAGAAAGAAAACTACGATCGACGACACACCAGCAACAAGGAGATAGCTGTTGGATCAACAGTGTACATCAAGAATAACCGACGAGTCCAGAGGATGGGAGCCAAGATGGAGCCACGCTGGACTGGACCATACTCCGTCATCCAGACATTGATCAAAGGTCTATGAAGCTACAGAACGTGAAAACCAACAAGATCCTGAACAACACCCACCACGCCAGTAACCTCAAAATCTACTCCAATGACCCACCCACTAACGACAATGCCGAAAGCCCCAGTGATTCGAAGCAACGAAAAAGACTCAGAGATGAACTGGAGTCAGGCGACCATACAGACCTTACTACCAAACAAATCAAGTCAACCCGTTTGTTCAACCCTATCCCCAAATATGCTCGAAGGAATTTGGCTGCTGCTTCAGGCCTGAACTCTTCAAAGGACATTTATTACGGAAGATCAACAGACTTGACAGCACCCCAACGGACATACAGAACCAAAGGCGACGGCAACTACTACTTCCGCTGCATCAGTTACAGCCTGACAGGATCCCGAAGACAGTCACAGCACTATCCGAGATCGAGTGGTTCAGCATATGAACAATGACATTAATGATGAACTAAAACATTTCCTGAACCAAAATGTCAATGAGTACATCACTAATTCGGGAATTTCACGAGATGGAGTGTGGGCAACAGATGCAGAAGTTATGTCAACAGCCAGTCTGTTAAAATGTGACATTTATATTTACAGTGCAGTTGGTCAGTCAATGCAATGGCTGATGTACCCTGCCAGCTTCAGCTTGAAAACTCACACTGATTATGCTTTGTATCTGGAAAATGTATCGGACCATTTCAATGTTGTAACCAGTGTTTAATTGTGTGAGAAGTACAATAAAATTATAGTAGTATCCTTAATCACTTGTTTTCTGTAGGGGTATAATCTGGGCTAGGGGGGTATACTATGGCCCCTAGTTCAGAATATACCCCGGGGTATAAACTAGGCTAGCCCAGTTGAACCCTGGGTATAGTCTGGGACAGGGGTATACTCTGGCCTGTTACACCGGGTTCGATTCCCCACATGGGTACAATGTGTCAAGCCCATTTCTGGTGTCCACTGCTGTGATATTGCTGGAATATTGCTAAAAGCGTTGTAAAACTAAATTCACTCACTCAAGTCCGAATGAGGGAATAGTAATTGTGTTGTTGATCCAAGGGAGATAAGTCAAGAAAATGAGGCTTGATATTGAATATAAGAGAAGACTGACACTGTCTCTTATGTGTTCTTTTATTTTTGGTAATTAGATTTGCACCACTTTTATGTCATTATAAAATATGTGTTCTCAGGTTCATCCAGATCAAGTTTTAAATCCGGAGGAAAAGAAACAGCAAATCTTGGGTAAGTGTATTTAAGACTTACCAGTGTAGTGATGTTCTAAACATGTTGGGTTGCATGTAACATCACTGTCACACACCAATGACCTTATTTCTTTTGATTCTTTGGGGCGGCGGGGTAGCATAGTGGTTAAAGCGTTTGCTCGTCACGCCGAAGGCCCGGGTTCGATTCCCCACATGGGTACAATGTGTGAAGCCCATTTCTGGTGTCCCCGCCGTGATATTGCTGGAATATTGCTAAAAGCGGCGTAAAACCAACTCACTCACTCTTTTGATTTATTAGCCATGATGTTAAATGAGCTTATATACCAGGGCTCCAGATAATTTTTCAACATCAGGAGTACGTACTCCTTATTTTTTCAGTATATGAGTACTGGAAAACCTTAAGAGTCCATTTAAAGTACTAAATGTAAATTATTGGAGTATCAGTAATCTTGTGTTTCGTTTCATATATGCACCACAACATTGCTACTCTTGTGTAAACAGGTCAATAAACAATAAAACAATACTTTTTTCCGATAAATACGACTGTAAATGATTCTAAGACCGTACGCCATTGCTGTGGTGCGTATCTGCTACGTTTTCCAAAATATTTCGTACCGTATCGTACATATTTTCTATCCGTACATACGCCGATACGGCCCTTATCTGGAGCCCTGTATACCATTTAGTCATTAACACACCACTGTGTAAACACATACTGTAAAATACTATGTCATAAAATGACAAGTCAGATAATAGCTAAATGATACTGAGCCTTAATTGTCACAGTTATCAAATTAATGGACTTATGAATTTTGCCTTTGAATGACTTTCTTCTTCAGCCAGGAGTTTTTGGGGGGGACAGAGCTCCAGATAAGATTCAGCTCATGTGGGTACTGTACCCACTGTATTTTTTTTTGGAGTGGGTATTATGAATGTTGAGTGGGTATTTCACTTTCCGTTACCCACTGCTTGTAAATATGTGCGTATTTCAGTCATTTTACTCACCTAAGTATTATGTCATTGAGTAAGTTTACTAAGCAGGTATGTTCTGCCTTATGTCATACCTAATCAAAACCAACTTAAATATAATGGAAATAATTCCATAAAAAATCACTCATACTATACTGACAGTACAACATTAGTCCTATACTAACAGTACAACTTGATACCAATTGATGTCTTTTTCATTACGCAATTGATTTTTATAAATATATTCCATACGCATTTGTTTTAAACTTTTTGTGTATCTAACATTATAAATGCATAATTGGTACGCAATAATTATTTTTCAACGCATAATTGGAAATTTTCTATGCGTATTTTACCCGGATATGCAGCTTATCTGGGCCTCTGGGGGGAGGCTTGGTTAAAGCATTTGTTTACAACACCAAAGACCCGGTTTCACTTCCCCACCTGGGTACGATTTGTGAAGTCCAGTTCTGTTACACACAACAATGTTATTGCTGCAATAGTGAGTGAGGGCGTGGGCGTTGAGTTGAGTTGAGTTTTAGTATTAGTGAGTGAGTGAGGTATCAAATATCTTCTGACTTCTCTGTGATGATCACAGTTGTGGAGTGCCCCCACAATGGCTTCCTGGCACCACTGACCTCCTGTTCCCAACTACGAGAGCTTCAGAGTGCAGACAGTGTGGAGGTGATTGTACACATGTCCCCAGCTGACATCATACACACAGAACACTATCAACAGTGGATGCGCAGGTAGGAGTCAGGCCCTACAGGGTTCATTCATGTCTTGTTAATTTGTTCATTTGCAAAATATCATGCCCAAAATTCAGTCGGGCTGCAATTTTATTTTATATTATTTACTTGTAAACTGACATATTATTTAGCATGTTTATCAATGAAGACGAACGAACATGTAAATTGCATATTGCCACTGTAGTACAAGACATTGGCAAAGTGTGAAAGATTTAGAATTTTGAATTTAAAATTGTTCAGAAATTTTGTGTGAAATATTGAATTCCACCACCAGGAATAACTGATACATCAATCAAAGGACTTGATATATCACTACCACTTACAACATGACATGTGGGGTGGTGGGGTAGCCTAGTGGTTAAAGCGTGGACTCGTCATGCAAAAAGACACGGGTTCGATTCCCCACATTGGTGCAATGTGTGAAGCCATTTCTGCTGTTCCCTGCCATGATATTGCTGGAATATTGCTAAAAGTGGCTTAACATCTCCCTCAAACTTGACATGCATTGGATATTTGGGATGATTTTATACTGAATACATTCGTCAGTAATTTGTGTCTTTTTTCTTCTGAACAGTTTTGGATCAGCTACGCAGCATATCATCATCAACAGCACCAACACGGATGTGTCCCACCTAGCACTGTATTCAACACAAGCCAAGTTGAATCTGCTCCATCCCACCATATTCCCCCTGTTGCCTCAGTTCATGGATCCAACACAGCGTGATATGGATGCTGCATCTGACTCATCCTCAGTCAGGGGCCATACATGTCTTAAGTATCAGCTGCGGCCCAAGAATGAACTCTGCAGGTATGTGTTGACTGTAAGAGATGGACTATCATGCGATTCTCACTGGTGAGGGGCAGTAGGGTAGCCTAGTGTTAAAGGGTACGGCAGTCATGCTGAAGACCCCACATGTGTGATTCCCCACATGGGCACAATGTGTGAAGCATCAGGCTTGCTGACTTGGGTGACACATGTCATCGTATCCAATTTTTGTAGAACGATGTTCATGCTGTTGATCACTGGATTGTCTGGTCCAGATTCTATTATTTACAGACCACCGCCATATAGCTGGAATATTGCTGAGAACAAACCAACCAACCAACATTTCTGGTGTTCTCCGTCGTTTATTGCTGGCATATTGCACAAAGTGGCATAAGACTGAACTCACTCACTCACTGGTGATTCCAGGGGGAGGTGCAAGATATACTTAGCTACCCACACCTTTTTACAGACAACCTGGAAGTTAACCTCTGATTGCCTTTGTTGTAGGGATACCCACATTTACGCCAGTGCTTACCATAAATCTAGTTTGGTTTGTCTCTTGTTTAACGCTGCACTCAGCTTTATTCCAGCTGTATGGCAGCATTAAGCTGGTGTCCAAACTTTGGAAATAAGTAAACTGTGTGTGGCATACATCTTTGACAGTTTGACTGTTCAGAAATAACACATGCCTCATATCATACAGGCGATCAAGAGAATAAAAATATGTCATTGAAGAACTTGCTATCCACAAAAGTGTGAGTTGTGCAGTGGAAACGAAAACGCTCAAGAAGGCATCCATTAGTATCAGGGGTGAAAAGATACATCAGTGCATAATGGGTTTTCATGCAATGGAATGATAAAAGTTTTGCAGTATTGATACCAGATGATACCCAAACTAAATTACTTATCACATGATCACATGTTTAGTGGCACTCCCCATCCTTGGCATTTTGTCAGTCAGATATTGAAAAATGAATTGTAGGTAGCTTTTCAAGTTTATTAGAAATAGCCACACAGAGCATGCATCGACAGCTAGATTTTCCTTAGAAACCAGGGCCCATGCATCTACAGCTAGATTTTCCTTAGAACTGTAACCTGATCTGAAGTAATTGTAGTCATAGTTTCCATGTTGTTGTGATGTGAGGATCTGTATTGTGCTGCATATCAAATCACAACCTATATATTGTGATACATACTGTATCATGCCCCTGCTGTATGGTAAGTACAAGGACAATGCAGCGTATCGTGTTGTGGAACAGTGTTACTTCGGTGCTGATAAATGTAATAAACATTCAGATATTTACTATTTTATTTAAGAATGAAGGCAGCCTACGTCAGTCTCCTAAAAACTAGTTTCCATTTTTCATTTTCTTATGAAGATAAGAATACAATCACAAAACAGTGACATCTGATAATCATTAAAGAATACTGCTCTAGGTTACTCATAGGAGCGGTGGGGTAGCCTAGTGCCTAAAGACCAAAGACCCGGGTTCGATTCCCAACACGGGTGGAATATTGTTAAAAGTGGCGTAAAACCTCACTCACTCTAAGTAACTCATCAGTGTACTCTTGATGACACTATCCTGTATCATGTCACTGGACATGGAAGCAAAGGGAACATTAAACATAGATTTCCATACTGTATTTTCCAGAGATCAGTGTTTCCAGTTGGACAGAGAGCAGTTTGTGAAGGAGGCTATGGATATGCCCAATGTCCCACAGTTGATAGAAGATGTTAACAGCAGGCTGAAACATAAATCAACAGAGGGTGCGTTAATTTGCAGACTCTCCATGCTGAGGATGCTATGACGGACAGAGTTATCTCCCTTATTTGTATAAAGTCCTTGTGGTAGGGTCAGACTCCTCCAACTATTTCACTACAGGGAACTGAAGCTGAACTGCATGAAATTGTTTAAATTTGTGGTATAAAGTATTTTGAATATGTGAATAATTACCACACAAGTTTAGCAGCCTCACATTTGAAACTGACATTGTATTTCCTGCTAATTTTCCATGTGATAGCAAACTAGACTGTGTGAAATGCTGTTTGTTTGTTTGTTTGTATTAGCAGTATTGTGGCTGTATTACAACAATCTGTAAATAATTAAGTCTATGGATCATCAGTCTATAGGAATTGAGAGATGATAATATGTATCAACTGAGTGACTTGTCGGACCACTGGACCCAATGTATCCGCTCTTCAGACAAGGATTGGTTGCTGAAAAACTATTCTAATATTCTTGCTCAAAAAAGAAATTTCATGTATGTACAAACAAGTTGAGTGTATGTCAGAGGCTCCCTTCTTTCTGTTACAGGGCCTAAGTACCCAGAGGTTGTTTTTTTAGGCACAGGTTCAGCTATTCCAAGTAAACAGAGGAACGTCAGTTGTATACTGATTCATTTAAGGTTAGATTAGATTCATTCACTTCAGCATTGTGCATTCACTTCAACATGGGGTGTTCTCTTAAACATGGTGCGACCCGTGAAGATCCGGGGTAGAATAGGTCTTCAGCAACCCATGTGCTTGCCATAACAAGGCGACTATCTTGTCGTAAGAGGCGACTAACGGGATCGGGTGGTCAGTTTCGCTGACTTGGTTGACAAATGTCATCGGTTCCGTGGCGGTGTGTGGTCCTGTGGTAGTGACTCAGGTCACAAGAGCTCAGGTCACGAATCAGTTGAAGTTAAGCAACGTCGAGCTCGGAGAGTCCTTGGATGGGTGACCGTGTTGACTCCTGAGAGTTTCTAGGACTTCAGTCCTGCCCCACAACGTGTCTACACAACATGTGATACATGTGCTCTCACTTTAGTCAAGTGAGTTTGTTTAAAATTGACTCTGTTCACCCAGCAGAAAATGGGTACCCGGTTGGATAAAGTCATGTGACTATAACCTTCTAGCGCCTAACAGGCAGCTTGGGTTATCCGGGTAATAATAATCAGAATCTGATTACAGCGTCCAGTGAGCAACTAGTCAGATGGGTACTAGGCGCTATATCAATGAATTATTATTATATAAGTGCAAATCATTAGGCCCTATTTGTATAATGACTGATCCAAATTGATCCCATTTCTGTGTTGTTTTACCTCGATATTTAATCATGTCATGTAAAAATCTGTTTGTATTCTCAAAACAGTGTCGGCCCATAAGTTTTCACATGCAATACATCAATTAATACTCCCTCGTTGTAACCCGTGTTAGGTGGTATAAACCTACACATGTTATTTGTCATCATTCACTTGATGGTCAGTTAATGAATTTATAACAGGTATAATTAATGGTAACACACTTAGGTTATCCGACAAAGGTTCCCATTTGGCATTTCTTGTGTCTGGAGTAAATATTCAACATTATAAACATCGATCAAAGGATTAACCGATAACACGCTGATTGATTAATTGCTTTTATCTTACACAGCGGAATTGTCAAAAGGTAGTGTTTATGTATGTAGATTTACTAATCTATACTGAATACACTCTGTCGTGTCGGTGTCTGCGTAAAAACAACGTCCTTCTTTCAAAGGATTAACCGGCAACACATTGATTGATTGCCCATTATTGGCTAACTAAATTACTGTTTTTAAAGAAAGGCAGACATTATGCAATTAGTTGCCAGGTGTTCTATCTTGGGTGACCAATGAGACTATACACCAATACCTGAAAAGATTTATCCCTTTTTCGTATATTAAACTGTTAAAAGACACATCATTTGGAACAGTTTTGTGGATATTGATGGATACATTCCTCGAACAAGGTAATGGCCTGATATTGTTCCTATAACTTTAATCTGTTTTAATTTTAATATTTGCATTTTGTTTTTATTCATTTGTCGTAGCATTCAACAGAATCATTGTTTTCGCCGTGAAGTGTAATGAGACAGACAACATGCACTAGGGTCTGTGTGCGAATTATGATTCACATTGGCAAACTATAAAATGTCTAGATATTACAGTTCTGTTATAAATTCACTATAAGTATCAGCAGATCGTCTACTTTTATTTAGTTTCAAAATGCATACAAGTGTGATAATAAACTAATTAGGATTATAAAACCAAATATAAAGACGCACATTGACTAGTATCTACATACTAGTGAGTGGACATTAACCATGGGAATGTAGCAAGAAATTTATCGCGCAGTATTGTGACTTCGACCCCCACCTCGCTTCCGTGGAAGAAATCGTTATGTTATAAGTTTTGTCATGCAAAATCCGTTTGGTTATGATTCCAATACATATTTAACAACGAGTAGAAAGTAGTCTTGATTTTCTAACTTGATCAAAACAAACTATAATCTCATTAATTCTAACAGATTTTTTTTTTTAAAATGGCGGCGCCCTGTCGGGAACATCCGCCAGTCTGAGGATAAATGGTATTTAGGTTTGTTTTCACCGAAGTTACAAAATCAAAACTACTTTCTACTGGTAGTAAAATATGTATTTTATTGATGGCCAATAGGATTTTGCATGACATAGCGATATCATAACAATTTCTCTCGTGGCAGCGAGGTGGGTGTCAATATAATACTACTTACAATATTATTGTTACTTCGACCACAACCTCACTCCGAGGAAGAAATCGTTATGTTACAAGTTGTGTCATAGAAAATCTTTATGGTCATCAATCATATGCATATTTTACTACAACTAGTAAGTAGTTTTGATTCTTTAACTTCCGTGAAGCGATCTGAACACAAGTAAGATATCGCTTCAGGCTTCCACAACGCTTGCCGCGACTCACAAACATAACCCATTTAGCAATTTAACCGCGGGTCCTGTGGAAATCTGTGCATGGGGACACCATCGCCTCGACTTCTAGGAGCAATTGACGACAAAGCAACGATTCGGCATGTCGCCGTTGATGTCGAGAAATCATCAAAATGATGAGCGTGCTACACATTTTCTATACAACTAACTGAAAATCGTTCCTCATATGACGTCACTGCAGTGCTCTGGCGACAGAGTTACGTAACCTGTCTGTGGTTTCGTTGGCGGGCGAGAGGGAAGCAGGCGACTTTTTGGCCACTTTTAATCGCTCGGTATTAATTAACCACAAGTTTTTAAAGAATAAATTTGGTGTTCCGCATAAGACTAACCACAAATCTTTCATATGTAATGGTTAAAAGAGTAACAAAAAACAAAGTTTAGTGGTTCTTTAAACACGTTGCATTCACCTCAGCATAGTGCATTCTTTTCAACATGGTGCTTTCTATTAAACACGTTGCATTCACCTCAGCATGGTGCATCCTTTTCAATATGGTGCTTTCTATTAAACACGTTGCATTCACCTCAGCATAGTGCATCCTTTTCAACATGGTGCTTTCTATTAAACACATTACATTCACCTCAGCATGGTGCATCCTTTTCAACATGGTGCTTTCTATTAAACACATTGCATTCACCTCAGCATGGTGCATCCTTTTCAATATGGTGCTTTCTATTAAACACATTGCATTCACTTCAGCATAGGGCATTCTTTTCAACATGGTGCTTTCTATTAAACATGTTGCATTCACTTCAGCATAGTGCATCCTTTTCAACATGGTGCTTTCTATTAAACACATTACATTCACCTCAGCATGGTGCATCCTTTTCAACATGGTGCTTTCTATTAAACACATTGCATTCACTTCAGCATAGGGCATTCTTTTCAACATGGTGCTTTCTATTAAACACGTTGCATTCACTTCAGCATAGTGCATTCTTTTCAACATGATGCTTTCTATTAAACACGTTGCATTCACTTCAGCATAGGGCATTCTTTTCAACATGGTGCTTTCTATTAAACACGTTGCATTCACCTCAGCATAGTGCATCCTTTTCAACATGGTGCTTTCTATTAAACACATTACATTCACCTCAGCATGGTGCATCCTTTTCAACATGGTGCTTTCTATTAAACACAATGCATTCACCTCACCATTGTGCATTCTTTTCAACATGGTGTTCACTTCAAATACGGTGTTTGTGTTGTTTGTAGTGAGGATAGTGCTGTTGTGCTGGACTGTGGCGAAGGAAGTGCTGGCCAACTGTATCGTCACTATGGTGACTTGACTGATGACCTCATGTGCAAGATCAAGGCAGTCTTCATATCACACATGCATGCAGACCACCATCTTGTAAGTGATCATGTAATAGTAAAATAGAACTAATATCTGTTCACATAGCAAGACAAGTTGAAAGGGAATATCCACCCGAAAATTATAAAATATCAGATGTTAAGGTAGATTTGTGTAGAATGTGTTGAATTTCTGGTTGTCTTGAACTCACTCTCTGGTCTCTTCACATTTCATCTATATTTTTCATGTTTATTATCATTTACACTGAAATCTGTTGAACTGGATGTGTAGACTTCTGGAATGTCTGAACCCTGTTAGGACCCGTAGAAGATCCAGGCTAGAACTGACCTTCAGTAACCCATGCTTGTCATAAGAGGCGACTAACAGGATCGGGCGGTCAGGCTCGCTGACTTGGTTAACACATGGCATCGTATCCCAATTGCGTAGATCGATGCTTATGCTGTTGATCACTGGATTGTCTGGTCCAGACTCGATTATTTACAGACCACCACCATATAGCTGGAATATTGCTGAGTGCGGCGTAAAACTAAACTCACACACTTACAGAACCTTATTTGGGAGTCTCAAGTATCCAAATTAAACAAAATAATCCCCCTTATGATACGGACAGTAAAACTATACAGTAATAGCACACACCCACACTTGCCAAACTTTAACTTTTCATTCACTTCATGACCTTGCTGCAAAACGTGATGTTCTCTAATAATTTGACAGAATCTAATTATGCTTAATTAACAAGAACACCTTACAGGTGCAAGCCGATTCCTGTATACACATCAGCAGCAAGATACTGAAGTGTTTTCATGTAACTCCCTTTGGCATGTTGTATTGAGAAATGAGTAAAATGGATTCAGGTTATATCATTAAATCTATTACTTCTGCTGTGATCATCTCTCATATCATGATGTTGGGTTTTCGTAAAATCACTTTATCAGTTGTCTCATCCCCGGAAAACTTTATTCCAGGTCACCATCAGTTTGACACAATGGGTTTGACTTTATCTAATTGTGATTTCTCTGAATGTGTTTTTGGTGACAAATAACAGACCTGTTTCTTTTTAAGGGCCTATTTAGCATTTTGAGTGAGAGAAGAAATGTGTACAGGAGAAGAGGCCAGACTTCCCCAAATCTAACTGTACTTGCCCCAAGATACATGAGACGATGGTTGGAGTTCTACAGCAACAATGTGGAGACATTCAAGGACCAACTAACGTGAGCCTCCCTTCATGATTCTGGAGATCGGGGCAGTGGGGTAGCCCAGTGGTTAAAGTGTTCGCTCATCACGTTGCTCATCGGGTTCGAGTGACCATATGGGTACAATTAGTCTGTCTCACAGTCCCTGAACCACATTAATTTCCCTACTGCCTAGCCCTCTCTGCAGTGCTAAAGCCCTAAATAAAGCAAGTCTAGATTTCCTCAGGTTCAGGGTCTGTTAACATCTGCAAGAAAACTAACTCACTTTGGGGGTCGGATTACAAAGTAAACATATCTAACTACCATGGCTGGCCGGACCAACATCTTCACCAGTGGTCTGGAATCTTGCCTCACATTTTCATCTGTCAACTCTTAATTAACAAGCACATTGGGTGACATGAAGCTATAGTGGAGGCCTTGTGCACAGTTTCTGGTCTTGAAGAGACAAATCAAGCAAAATCTTGGGGAAAGGTTCCTCCTGAATGTTATGTTGTAAAAAGTATTGTTTCATTGTCTGACTTGGGTCCACATATAGCAGCCCAATTGTAACTGCGGTTAAGGATTTAATTGTAATTAAAACAAGGGTTATTTTTCTTATTCCTGATATAAGATTATTGTGTGAAACTCTGGTGTGTTTTGAGTATCTCTTTTTATCTAATTGCTCAACAGTAAAACATATGGCAGGGACCTAGCACTCATGAAGAGTGAGTGAGTGAGTTTGGGTTTACACGCATTCAGTAATATTCCATATATGGCGGCGGTCTGTACATAAGTCGAGTCTGGACCAGACAATCCAGTGATCAACAGCATGAGCATCTACTAATTGGGATATGATGACATGTGTCAACCAAGTCAGCAAGCCTGACCACCTGACCCCGTTAGTTAAGCCTTCTCGTGAAGAACCAAATTCAAAAGGCACAGCATCTCGAATTAAATTTGTTTATCTTAAGTGATGTGATTTGAGGCATGCAAGGTGAAATCTAGTGAGGATGATCTAGTATCTAGAAATACCCAGAACATCTTCAAGCGCCAAGACAGACGCTGGCCTTTTCACTTCCATTGAACAGTTTGTTTTAAAAAGGTGGTTATCTATATCCTCTTAAGCATATTATACAAATGGAAACTTTTGAATTTGGAGATAAGTTCAAATTCATAAATAATTTTGTTGGTGTTCCAGACAGATCTTGCACCTTGGTCATCTAGTGTCCAAGTGACATTGTGGGCTGCAAGTTTCCCAACAGTAAAATGTTAGGCAATAGGGGCACTTGACCGGCCCACTTGAGGTGATGACAACATGGAGATAGGACAGGGCTTAACAGGAGGGCCAATAAATATGCCTTTCACTTATAGCGTTATCTGATGGTCGTATGATGTGACTTCTAATTGGTAATGACCCCAGCACGTGTAGCCCCAATGCAGATGTTCTTAGTCTCTGAATCTCTGGTCTCCCTAGGGCTCCTTTTCAATATAAATGGGCTTGTTTGTTCCTATCAAAATTATATATATTCAGAGACTAAGCCTTAGTCTAGGGTACAATGTGTGAAGCCCATTTCTGGTGTCCCCCGGCGTGATATTGATTGAATATTGCTAATATTACTCTCACTCACTCACTCACTCACCCACTTTTTTTTTTTGTGCAGTATGATTCTATATGTTGTAAACTAGGAATTAGGTCATTTAGTGGTTAGAGTATCTTGGAGACAGCTGTAGCTGTGAATTGTTTTCCTCTTGGCTTCCTCTCAAGCTTTTAAGCTTCATCAAACCAAAATAATACATGAATTTGTGTAATGGCTCTCACTGTCACCATCCAAATGGGCTTATGAAGCTGACATAAAATCTCACAGAATACCTGATATTAAGTAAAATATCTTTGTGACAGTTAAAAACAAAGATGTGAGGAGTCACGAAATTGGAATAAGACATGGATTGGAAATGAAGGAGTCAATATTATGGTTCATCTCCTGTGGAAGCCATTTTGGTAATCAGTATGTTCACTGGATACTACTATAGCAGCCAGTTTTAGATGGATGCCATCATCAACACAAAGAGGTGTAATGTCAGACATTCATCATTCATTGTGGTTAGAATTGGTCTGCAGCAACCCATAATTGATGTAAGAGGCGACTAACGGGATCGGGTGGTCAGCCTACTGACTTGGTTGACACATATCATCGTATCCCAATACACCGATGCTCATGCTGTTGATCACGGAATTTTCTGGTCCAGATTTGATTGTTTACAGACTTTCGTAATATTGCTGATTTTGGCACAAGAAACAAACGTCTCCTGGTGTTCTTTGTTACTCGTGGTGGCAGGCAACTTGTTAAACAACAGCCAAACCAAATCATTTATTGTGGTATTCAGTGATCGTAAACCATGGAAGAATTAAGTCAGATTGCTAAAGCCCAGTATTGGTGTTGCATCACAATGCATGTATAACCCATGAAGGTCTGGGATAGAATTGATCTTCAGTAACCCATGCTTGTCGTAAGAGGCGACTAACATGATCGGGTGGTCAGGCTCGCTGATTGGGTTTTAACACATGTCATCGTACCCCAATTGCGTAGATCAATGCTCATGCTGTTGATCACTGGATTGTATGTTGCAGACTCGATTATTTACAGACCGCCCCCATATAGCTGGAATATTGCTGAGTGCGGTGTAAAACTAAACTCACTGACTCACTCAATGCATGCACAAAACATGTTAAGTATTTCAAGGACACCCAATTTCACTGAAATATATAAATGTTGACATTATTGGATGAAATTTTGACTGCAGTTAGTAAAATATGTTAAAACATAAGGTCTGAAAAAGAATTAACCTCTTTTAACCAGATTGAGTTATAACAGGATTACTTGAATAATTCAGTAGGCATTTGTGGCTATTCAATTTCTGATGATTTTGATGAGAAGATGTTGGTAGGAGGTAGTGGTGAATCATATGTACCAAACATTCCATTTTGATACAGATTTCAAGGATCAGGTATACCTATGAGATATACAGTAATATGTTTCCTGAGAAAACAGCAGGGCTGCCTGTTTTCTGAAGCTTTTGACAGTCAATTGTTTGGTCTTTTAAATCAGTAAGTGGCTTTCTCTTTCAAATCCCCTCACATTTGAAAGGCAATTATCCCTGTGTGTGTTTTATATGACGAGGTGAACAAACTGGGAACCTTCAGAACTGACTTAATCACTTGACTGTTTTGACTTGTTTCATGTTTTGTCATAAAAGATTTGTTCTAATCATGTCGTTGCAGCCTAATCCCTCTCCAGGAAAGCAACCAGCAGTGGCAGAAACTAGATGCTGTCAAGACAGAGCTGCAGCTTAGTGAAGTATGATATGTTAATGTGATTGGCATTATTGGAGTAATTGCTTCCCTTTGTGTTCACAAGGACAAACATATTTGTGTGGGCTTCCCCTGAGATGCTTGTTCTGTATGTCACCCTTTTCCAAGATCTTTGGATGATTAATCAAAGTGAATTGATCATTTTAATTAATTAACAGTGTTTATGTAACTTTTTTTCATTTTTTTTTGTCCTTGAGTTTCCTTTTCTTTTGTGACGGTTTAGGATTAACCTACAACTGCACATGACAGGATCCTAACTGCTGAAAAAAGGATCATAATTACACATGAAAGGAACATGACTGCACATGACTGGATCATAACTACACATGACAGGATCATGATAACTGCACATGACAGGATCATGATAACTGCACATGACAGAATTATACCTACACAACAGGACTATATGATAACTGTCAGGCACACGTCCAGGGTGTCTAGTTACTTGAGATTGCCGAATCTCTCCTTGTACACGGCAGATGTAATTAAAAATTATCACAATTTTGTAATTTTTGCAAAACCAGTAAATGTGCAGTTATGTGACTGGATTTCTGCTTTATCACTTGATAGTCTCTTGTACACAGCAGATGTAATGTAAAATTTACATGTTTTTAGTTTCGACAAAATAAGTACATGTTCTGTCATGTGCTGATTTGTGTTTAGAAAAGCGACCCATGCTTGCCACAAAAGGCTACGCTTGTCGTAAGAGGCTACTAACGGGATCGGGTGGTCAGGCTCGCTGACTTGGTTGACACATGTCATCAGTTCCCAATTGCGCAGATCGATGCTCATGCTGTTGATCACTGGATTGTCTGGTCCAGACTCGATTATTTACAGACCGCCGCCATATAGCTGGAATATTGCTGAGTGCGGCGTAAAACGAAACTCACTCACTCAGTCACTGTTGTATAGCAGATGTACTGCAGTGTTGTGCCAGGTAACAAACACAAACTTTATAATGCAAATTGTACGAGTGGTTTGTGCTAACACAGGGGCAGGACATGTATACACAATCCAATTCCACAATCTCCAGGTGTCATCACTGATTTTCAGTGATCCCATCATATGATTATCAACACTATCCTCCTATTGTTGGGCGTAATCTTTGTTTGGAAAACTGCCATATTATTCAGAACAAAATGTTTTGTCTTTGATTATTTGCTCATGGCATAGTTTATAACAGTAATGATCATACACACAACTTTTTGTTCTATTAGAATGTTCAGCAACATGGATTTTTCATTATTAATTTCAAATCACTGATTATATTAATTGATAAATTGCATATCTTAAAAATTGTTATTATTGTTTAATTTTTTTCTGTTTACACAGGATGTACATTTATCACCTGAAAACTTATTTCCAATACATGCTTGCAGTTCATAGTATTTTCAGATACGACCTTTCTTGAGAAAATGTCTTTTCAAATTGAGTTCAAAATATATTTGTTGTCACCTGCAGCTTGGCATAATTGATCATAACATCTTGCCCGGTTTTGATATTTGTAAGAAAATTGGAGAAGGACAGTTCTTTTGCCGATGTTGGACACAGTGTGATATTTCAAATAAATATGTTTGTCTGTCTGCAGTTTGTCCCTGTAGAGGTGGATCACTGCCCCAATGCTTTTGGCGTATCCCTTGTACATAAAGATGGCTGGAAGATTGTATATTCCGGAGACACAATGCCCTGTGGGCGCCTAGTGACGGCAGGCAAGTAAACCAACTCTCATGGCCTAGCACCGGGAAATGAGGAGATAACTTATGCTATGGATGAGGTAGTGAGACTTATCAATAGTCATATCAGGTTGAAAGAGAGAGCCAAATAGCCCAAAGGTGTTGGCTAGGGTTACAAGTGGTAGACATTGTCAAGTATTGCTCCCCAGGCTTGAGTCGCTCTGTACTTGACAGGGATGGAAATAACCCATTGCCCGACGTCCGAGTCCAGTGTTTTTTTCTGTCGGGCAAGCAAATTTGTAGTCACACTGTACCAGTGTCCAGTTGACTTTTCAGTGGTAATTATGTTGTTTATTTAAAAAATCAGCAAGAACACGGTCGGTATAGTGGAAAAATTATCAGGGCAAGTGACTTTACATGTGCCACTGTACCAGAGTACACTATTAATTTTAAAGTTATTTCCATCCCTGCTTGATATGTACAGCGTTTCAGTGGTATTCTTGTGTTTGCAGGTCACGGTTGTGACCTTCTGATCCATGAGGCCACAATGGAGGATGACCTGGAAGAGGAGGCTAGGCACAAATGTCACAGGTAAATGTCAGTGTCCCACAATGGACATTGATTGTCTGATCTTCTAGTTGCTTTCTCTGTTGGTCAAGCTGATTGACACAATAAACAGAAAATAATGTTATGACCTCTTTTTGTGTAGTATTGTTTTCTTACTGCAAGTGCTTGTTGTCTGTCTGGTTAGGTCATTTACTGTTTTGAACAGGACAGATGCATGGGGACGAGAAGGGAGCTGTCTTATGTAATCAATGATTGAGCCCCCAGAACAAAGAACTTCTCCTGTGTATGTCATTCTTTCCTACATGATCATGTTTGTCATGACCTCCCTGAGACTATGAACTTGTAATAAAGTTTTTTATTCTAAACTACCATCAATGTGAACTTGTTAATGTTTTGGTCCTCATCTTCTGTCCATTCAGTTGTCAAGCTGCCCTTTTGCATTGAACTTAAGATCTTATATAAATCCACAGAACACATTAATGTCATTTTTACATAACATATTCTACATGGCTCTACAGATTTTGAATTACTCGGTGACTGCAATGGCAGCTCATGTCAGCCTTTGAGCTAGTCTCTTCACTCCAATTATTGTTTTCCAAAAATATTTCTTAATGTTCTCTTTTACAGTTTTTCAAATGTAAAAATGATATCGTTGGTCTTTGGGGTTTTGTTATAAGTTGTTTGTCTAGTATTTACTGCAACAGGCCTATTCTCCTATTGTAAGGGTTTTCTTACTTAAATAGAAGACATCACAGCCATTCTTGACAATCCATTAAAACAGATTTCATTGGGCATTAAAAGCTAAGTATGGTGAAAGTGATATGAAAGGATTACTACCAATAGCAGCCTTTACTCACACAGTCTGTTTGAAAAGCAGCCCAGATATTGAGGGTAATTGTTGTGGCACATGATATGCAGGGTTGGAAGATCAATGTCATATGAAGCCTTCATTTCACTGTAATATCTTGAGATTGTGCTGAAGACATGACATCTCTGACCTCATGCAAAGTTTCCAGTGTTCATTTTAACTCCACAGCCTTAAAGGTAGAAACTCAAGGGGTTGCAATAAATCAAGACATTACCTTTTTTCAAAGATTTTAGATTTCCAAAGGCTTTCATAAAAATCACTTTTTTATTCTATTTCATATGAAGAATAGAACTGGACAATTTTGCAGTTATTTGCTTATATTTGGATTAAATCAAACAATGGTAATTATTATTTGATACCTATTGATTGTATTGAAGCAATGCTAAACATGAACAATAAAGGTTAGGAAACAAATCATCTTGACCTTTGATATTTTCAGAGACAGATTTCTCAGCTTTTCTCATTACCTATATGTGTGAAGCCCATTTCTGGTATCCACTGCCGTGATATTGCTGGAAAATTTCTAAAAGTGGCATATACTCACTCACACTTATTACATATGTGCTTACAGAGAGTTAAAAATATGTATATCTGTATCATATCCAAGGGTACGATAGTATGGTTTAGAACATATTAGATGGTTTTATGCATCTGGTGTGAGGTGAGCTACTGTACCTATGGTACTCAAGCTGAATTAGTTTTTATTTTCAAGACTGTTAGACCAAAGAAATCTGGAACGACGTCATGTAGAGAGGTGAAATTGAAAATAACGGTAATGATCATTGGGACTTCATGTTTGCAGAAACTTGAACACATGTGGAATTAAACACTATTCATTGAAAAGGACTTAAATTTGCTGTTTCTTGGAGAAAGGCTGCTTTCGAGCTGAAAGTGTTTCAACACTGCTTAGAAGTAGTTTCAAGTGCATTAAAAGCACTTCAAAAGAGATGAATGTGCATTTAAGTGCTGAGAAGGGGTTGGAGCTTGACAGTGCTTAAAAAGAGCTTTCGGTGTATTAAAGTGCTTGTAAGGTTGGAAGTCTAATAACAGTGCTTCAAAAGAGCTTGACATTTTGCAGAAACAGACCTGCCATCAAAAGGCAAAGCTAAAATACTAAAACAGCAACATCCAAATATAAGTTTACATCCTCAAATATGTCAAACCCTTATCTGATTAAAAAAGATCGTTGTGATCCTGAACGGTTTCGTTTAAGTTATTTTGAATAGAGTAACTAAAAAAGACTTTGTAAATACAAATAAGGCACAATTTTCTGCTGTAGAAATGCAGTTGATATTCACACAATTCAAGAAATAGCAGGTTTAAAATCTGAAGCTCTAAAACTGTGGAATTGATTTTGTTAATGTTTGGCATTTTTTTGTGTGAATAATTTGCCTGTATAGTGATAAAAACAAAGTCCTGTCCTACTAGTTCTCTACTTCTCTCTCTTGCTGAGTGCGGCGTAAAACTAAACTAAGCAACCAACTCACTCACTCACTCACTCACTCCAGTGTTTCTGTGTTCCAGCACCACCTCACAAGCAATTGGCATAGGACACCAGATGGAGGCTAAGTTTACCCTGTTGACCCACTTCAGTCAGAGATATGCAAAGTTGCCTTTGGTCAGTGGAAAGTTCACAGATAATGTGGGCTTTGCATTCGACAATATGAGGGTAAGACATTTTGTTTCGGCAATATGTTTGAATTTTGCTGAAGACTCAGGTAAAATTCCCCACATGGGTACATTGTTTGAAGCCTATTTCTAGTGTCACCCACTGTGATATTGCTAGAATATTTCTAAATGCAGCGCAAAACCATAATCATTCATTCACTCACTCATGAGACAGGGTTTCAGTGTGAGTCTGAAAACGTTCAACAACTGACACCATGAATTTCAACAATATCTCTTATCATACTGGAAATTTCAGTTATGTGTAACTTGCAGTCTACAGTTTTTATGAACATGAAGTGATTCAAATAGCTTTATCAGTTGTCATCCAAAAGCACCTGCAGTGGATGTGTCCTTCCTGATTTTTACATGTATAGGGCATACCTTTTCTACTTTAGTAAAACTCAGCTCAATGTACTTTAAGTAAATGACTTCTAAAACCTACATAATGTCTTTAACATCCCGATGTAAATAGTAATAGCAATAATAATAGCAATAGATCAGTGTTATAATCCATTGCATATAAATCAGTTGGAAACAAATATAGTTGATTGAAGTGACATTGAACGGTTCTGTATTGCAGCAATATGTTATCATACTACATACTGCATTCATTGTTGATTAACTTGAAAGTTTGCTGTGTGTTTCTTATTTGTCCGTTTTTCCTTGATGTCTGTGCAGAAAATATTTCAATGACAATGATTAGCTGAACTTGTTAGTCCAACATGTCGTTATGTAACATTAATGCTGAAAGTTATTACTTGATAATTCTCTAAAAAGCATGCTGTTCAGATTAATGATTTTGAATATTGTTTGTCAAAATAGTCTCCTGACTTGGCCTTATTATGAAATAGAGAATACATTTAGTAATAATCGCATCAGCAGCAAAGGCAAGCCTTTTTACAGGACATGCTCATTATGTATCATATCTTCTCCAATAGGTAACCTTGAGTGATCTCCCCTTGTTGCCTCTCTTCACTGAGGCAATGAAAGCTATATTTGCTGATCACTACAACGACATGGAAGAAAAAAGCAGAAAGAAGATGAGAAAGAAAATCCTCATAAAAGACCTAATGGCAAATGCAAGTACATCAGAAGCAGAGGAGCCAAAGACAGATGATAAAAAGGCCCTGGAGATATCGGAGGCAGCTGAAGAAGAGGCTCACTCTGTTGTGCAAACATAGCTTAGCACTCAGTAGGGAGCCCACTGGGATCTGATTGAGATTCACAGATTTTAAATGGGAGAAGGAAACATCCTCTCGCAAAGACACAAATGGACATCAGTGAGTCCAATCAATTATCAGCATTCCGCTCATGCTGTGTCATGTCTGTATTTAGGCGTGTATGTTACAAGACCAAGTTCTCAAAGATCCATCTGTCTTGGAATCCTTTAATACTGTTACACGATATGTGATAATTTGATCTCATTTCGATTGGGATTGGTCTCTGTGGAATGGGTGACTTGTGTTGAACCGTTGACATTTGAGTGCTGCGTAATTGAATCTAAACAGACCCCTGTACAGTAATGTTGTAGACATATATTTGTCAGTGCAATAAAATAAGACCCCAAAATGTAGTTTTCTTTGTGAATATGTTCAAGCTGACAAAGGGAAATGGTTTTCAGAAATTTATTACAGGTTGGTATTAAGCATGTTCAGTGACATCAGACAATTCACATGTTTCAATTGAACACATCATACTAGTACATTAAATGTGAACCTTTGTCATGGATATTTGTTCCTAGCCATACATATCAAACACATTGTCTGAGGCTATTGTTAGCAATGTCCTGGCATATATATCAAATTCATCTCAGAGGGTCATGGTGACTGTCTTGGTGTTTGGTGATAATTCATTATCTGAACTAATAATGTTTGGTTCTCAAGTTTCTGAATGCACAGCCTTCTTGGCAATTCTCGTTAATTTTCGATTCAAGGAGATGTCACAGAGCTTCTAACTTCCCATTAAAAAAACTCTTTGAAACTCAACATGCTTCTTGTTACCATACCAATGACAGACAATAAAATGTCCATGTGTCATTTTCAATCTCCATGTCAACACTTTGAGAACACTAACTTACACTCATTATAACAAATCAGCTTCTTTTGAATCATTTGTTGAGCAAGAAAACCATGTTTTTAATAAATATCTTACATACAAGTTATACAATTCAAAATCTGATGTTATTTCTTTCTTCCTTTATGGATAAGCAATAAACATGTGAATGTTAATGTGTAATAGGAGGTTTGTATTGTCATAAGTATTAAATATATAAATATTTGAGTCATTAAATCAGTTTCATGGCTTCATGTGGAATGCCAAGAGTTAAGATATCAGTGTTTGTGCCAACTGAATCCAACTATACTAAACAATACCCCGTCAGTACGAATTCAAAATTAGATAGGCACTGTAATGAAATCATTATAGAAATGAACATAATAAGCGATCAAAAGCATTTTTTGTGTGCAATATCTTAACACACAATTCCAAGACATTACGTAAGCGTTTGCAGTCCATTCACACTCTAGACTTCAGTATCTAGTGTGACCACCACGAGCGGCAATAATTGCAGCCAAGCGTCTATGCATGGAGTGAACCAATCGATTGATGAAGGCCATTGGCACCTGGAACCACACTCTGAGAAAGGCCTGGCGCAATAAATCGGCTGTGTTCGGCCTTGGTATGACATTATTCAGTCTCCTCTGAATTTCATCCCAAAGATTTTCAACTGGGTTTAAATCAGGACTAAGGGCTGGCCACTGCATAATGTTGACACCGTTCTGCTGTAGGAAGTTCCGTGTAGCTCTGGCAGTACTGATCAGTACTGATTGGTTTTCCGTGTGTTCCCACTGTCTGGCGTGCTGTTTCGGATGCCTGCGTGAAGGGATTCTGTACATGCTGTCGCACAACATGGCGGTCTTGTCGTCTTGTGGTCAACCTTGGTCTGCGAGTACGGGGGCGGCTTGTTCAGTGTCACCAGCTTCACGTCTTCCTAGCGCCTGGTTTCCCTGAGCTGTCATGAGAAGGGGCATCCTGCTGACGCTGTAATGTGAATGTTTCAACGAGGTTTTGGGTTGCATTTTATAGGGCTGGTCCTTGTGAACAGCACGTGCAGCATGAGTTATATGAAAAACAGGGAGAACACTGTACCATCTCCGAGATCAGGTTACGTTTTTGAGACCATTTCCTGGGTTCCATTCTGAGTTTGGGCAGGAATGTCTATGCTCAGGTAAAATTGGAGATGTAAAAAATATACAATCAAAACATTAAATGAGTTTACAGTTATCCGTTTCTGTGAAGAAAAATTCCAAACTGACGTTTCTTTTTCTGCTTAGTATGTTTGGTTGCCAAGTGAGATGGCCCAGAACATCTAATAACTTCGTCTAATCAGACCAGTAATGCGATATATGAGTATCAATCTCAATAAAGAGCGATTATTTGTTTTATAGCTTGAATATGATACTGATTATCTGTGTACACATATGATGGTTACTTTAAAGGCAGCGAGTATAGGAGGAGAAATTAGCTGATGTGCTAGAACTAGTGTTGAGAGATTGGGACTAGTTTCCATTAGTGGAAACGTATGAAATAGAAAGTTCCAGATAGGTATTGTTTCTAGCCATGAATTGGTTGTGAATGTGTCAGTAACCTCTGATTCTTATGTGGACCCCATATGTCTCTTCAGAACCAAAAGAAGCCATGAACTTGAAACTTATGTATTGTGAATTTTGAAAATATATGTTCGGATTACAACTTCAGATTGAAACTATAGAGAAAAAGATGTCTCTGTGTTCATGTTTTTGTTCATGTAATAGTTGCAGTCCTTTAGATTGAGGAGAACTTCTCAATAATGCCTAACTTAAATAGCTTCGCCTCGTGTGCCCAACAGTTTCATTGATCGTTATGTAGTCAGATCATCAAAGAGGCGTTTCCCAGATTCCCCAGATTGAAACCGATACGCCAGTGGCAGCTTTCCTGCAGTCGTTGAAGAGACTAGAACCGTAGATCCATTGTCAGGCGAACACAGTAACTTCTGTGTTACAGTTTTAATAAGGTTACACATGAGTTTCTGGGGTGCATATGTCTACAGTACCCCATAAACGGGAGACCTCTTAAGCTTAAGTTACTCAGTAACGCTAAACAATAAAAGTGACCAAACTTAGCGAAATGATAACTGAGGAATAATCATATTTTGATAGGACAAATGACGAGTGTTAGATTTCCATCGTAATATATTGAGCCTTGTCCGCTGCGTTGATTGTTGCTGGGATAAACTGATTGGCGTCTGTCTCAAGCCACATGAGTTCCTGAATATATAAATGTCGACACGAACGTCTGAATCTGTCGGGATCGTGAAAATGTAAACTAGTTAATAGATATTTTACGCTGCCATGAAACCAGAACAGTTTAACCATCATATTTTGTCAAATTTCCGAGGTCTCCTAATAAAAGAAGTTAAATATGATATGGACATATCGTCGACAGCGTGTCTGCTGTAGAAGTAATCACGGAATATATGAGATATGTTCATCTGTAATAGTGCTCCAGAATATGTCCTCGGCATCAAGTCCGACGAAGAATGGTGTTTGTTTTCCGTCTGACTGAAAGTAGACGCAATATCTGATCACGACAGCTAATACGTTTAATATTTGTCAATATGCGGTCTCATCGTAGTGTATGAACAAATATAGAAAATCAGAGAAATAATTGGCTCGTCAGTGAGGCAGAGCTGTAAGACAACAGTGGCTGATGAGACTGTTCCTTCATACTGGGATCACTTAACCGCGTCACTTGATGAGGCCCGTCAACCATCGGCTAGCAACAACTCCAGTCTTACTGCTCCACGTATGTATTATATATCAGAGTAAGATTAGCCTGTTCCCCAGGGACAATCCTGGCAAAGTTATAGTCTGTCAGACATTGTAGTGGAATCTAGCAACTGAGACTACGACTTAATGTGTAATACGGCCGACGTCTGAAATGATCATCTGTTGTAATCCGATATGTTGTGAAACCTAAACTCTATTTGTTTGAAAATACACGTTATCAGACAACGTGTTTTGAAAAAAAAGAAAATGGCGAGTGACGACAGAATAATGAGGCATGTTATGGATTCGATTCCAATCCCTTCAACATTTGGAAAGAAATCACAGCAGTTCAGACGATCGAACAAATTTATGACAATGTTAAAGTGCATAACCACCTAATACACAGTTTCCTTGTTAATCATAACAGAAATAGACAGGGATGCGATCTAGTTCTACATAAGTCACCTAAAGCAATAATCCTCGATTCTCTGGAAACAGATTTATCCAAATATTCATATTTCAAAACTGATCAGAAGATCAAAATATTTCTTCTACATAGTCTCGCATTCTCTCATTCTTCCTTAATGTGACGTGACACTATATATCACTTAAGTCCCCTTTATTAGTACTTACTGTTCACGATCTATATACCAGGCTCCAGAGGCCTCAGTGAGGACATTCTCTAAGATTTGTCCTAATGCATTGAGACAGGGGAAATTTAGGCGTCTCGCGCTGATAATTTCACTTCTCGACTTGCTAAACAATATTTGTGTGGTCGATTCCCGGATATAACTAGCCGATACTTTAAAGAAATATCAGTTTATGCACTGACCACTGGGATAACCGACACAGCGATGGCTAAATATTCGTTTTCATGTTGACCACGAATTTATTCACACCTTGCTTTTATCATTTACTTTGTTATGTTCTAAATTCGACAAAGAGGGACATAAATTAATGTTATTTTTAACAAAATCCTACGAAAACTGTGTCTTTTCTCCTGATATATCCATTCCAAATTCATGTGCATGTAGATAAGTGTCAAAGAATGGAGATGTATTGGGTGGTTGGTGTCTGAAAGAATGAAATATAGATAGTTCCGAGATGGAAGCCTCAGATGCACCTTACGTATAAGCATGCGTTTTAGAAACATTTTGCGCATAAAGTATCCATAAATGTCCAAAAGTTTGATTAAAGAAAAAGTGCACTTAATCCCGTGGTGCGGTGCATGCAAAAATGATTGTAAGTGTAACGTGTTACTTGTGTGTTGCCTATGATAAACCGACGCAGGAGACTCATTGCCATCCAAAACACGTATGAAGCTCTCTCTTTAATTTCTTGGAGTAGAAGTTTAACCTTTGAAGTGGTGAGAAAAAATGTAAAAGGATATAAATTGTTGCATGTTTTGTTTTGCGTTCACCGGTATTTTTTCACAAACGATACTCTACATTTCATCTTCAATGAATATTTCAAAGAGCTTCATACGACTCAAATGTTGTTGATCAACTTTATATCACTGAGGACATCGGCAAAGGTTTCTAAACAAGTGGAGGTCATTTCAAACTTGGAAGTATTTGTGACCGACCTGATGTCCAATGCAGTTCTATAGTTCGACTTGAACGATGTGTTTCCGTGCTCTTTCAGATGAATTTCTGACTTGGTTTGCATGTGGTTTTCGCGAGTGCCCGCAAAGCGTTTCCCCCACGTGAAATATGAGTGAGTGAGTGAGTTAAATTTTACGTCACATCGGCAGTTTTTCGGCCA